CAGCGGCACAGGACAGCACATTACCACATAGATGGATGCAGTCATTGTGTAGATAAATGATAGAGGTTTCCACTCCCCCAGAAGGGCGCCATGAAATGGGAATTATGTCAGCGACATTATTCCTCAACAACGGTGTCACTTACGCACGCACGCGCGCGCTTTATGCCATGCTCGGCACCCAGAATTTTCCCTGCGGTGTGACTGGAGATAAAAGGATGTGTTGTGAGGAAGAAGAGATTTTTAAACTGCTGTGTCATTTTGTGTTCAGATCCAGCCTAACAGCGCAGCTAAAGAAGCAGCAGTACACATAGGTACTGCTGTGATTCCCAGTCATGGGTACTAAAACCCCAGGGGGTACTACTGCCATTGCCAGGGGTACGTGGAAAGATTGTAGAGTAGAGCTCTCACTAATGTGAGTTAAATGCCATGAGAGTGAGTGGAAATTAGTAAGCAAGGGATCGGAGAGGTCTAAACAGTTAGCAATAATAATAAACAATAATAAATAAAGAATATGATATCAATAAACCGATGAAATAGATACTAAATGTAATGAATAAGCAGTTGAAATGGTTAGATAAAGTGATGGCTAAATAGTTGAAATAGATGCTAAAAGAAATGAGTAAACAGTTAAAAAGGTTATGGATAAATGGCTGAAATAGTTAGCTAAATGTAAGGGGTAAACTTCCAGCTTCAGCCGCTCCAGGTGGTAGTAGTACAAATGCAAACTTGACCAAACAGCCGTAATATTGATATTTCAAATGTATGAGAGCATTGTTGTGGGCTAACAGGATATTTACTGTATTTACTGTTTAATGTCAAGCAACATACAGTTTAAGATCAGTTCAACTGAACACATTTGTTCATCTGACAGGGCTGTCGGGGTACATCTGACAAATAAGCTCGGGACCACTAATCTAGTATGCACAGTGGTTGTTTGTGTAGTCAAATAGGAAATTAACATAATAAGATGTTATACATTTTGTCACTTGCACAGAACAAATTCAATTAACCAAACAGTGGCAGTGGTTTTCAGTCCACCCTCAAAGAAGCTCTGCTAACAGCAGAGGAGGACCCTAATAAATCTTGCATATTTCTCCACATACATAATCTGTACTGAATGATCTGCAGTGTCATTATGTCGCGGTTATCAGCACAGCAAATAGGGGAGATAGTGATTGTAGATAGAGCTGCAGCAGATTCCCTCTCAAAGGTTGTGTGTGGATTCCCCTCCCCCGGGTTTATACAGTATGAATGTGTGGTGTATTTTGTCCCCCCCCCCCCCTGAAACTGGCACCTCTTTGTGAGATTGTTACGGTCGTACTGTATGAGGATGATTAATCTTCACTGCAGATCAATATCATACCTCTTGCACGTGTTACTCTGTTATATGAAAGCAGGGAAAGACTAACTAGCCTTATATTTTCCTCAGTGTATCAAATTCATCTCCCACAGTATAAACTGCATAATCACCTGGTTCCCTGCTTGCTGTGCGTTTACTACAATGAAAGAGGGATTTTAAAATGAGGAGTGATTTTTTTAATTAATTTTTTTTTTATTGTACACGTGGTATGATGAAATGCAGCGGAAGCTACAGCGCAGTGCAGATGAGATTTGCGAGAGGATCAAAATCAGCACATCAGGATTCAGTGTAAGACAGGGATGGAGGAGGGAGAGGCTGAGGGAGGGTGAAGTCGAGGGGCAACCCCCCTTTCTAGACGAGGGATTCCTTTACTGCAGTAATCAGCAGTCCCCCCTCCCACACCCGCCCTCTCCTCCCAGAAACCTCACCCTCCCTCTGTTTTTCCTCACACTCATGGCTTTCTCTTTTTTATCTCCCTCCCTCTGTTTCTCTCTCCTTGCCTCCCTTCTTCTGTTCCCTTTCATCCCTTCCTGCTCTCTCTCTCTTTCTAGCCACCATCCCCGCTGCACACACACACACAAGTCACGTTTCAGTGGGGAGGGATTGTGTGCTGCGGGGTACAGTAAATGCAGCACATGTTTAGAAATGCAAACGCACTCGTGACTCACACCGTTTTACTCTATCGCTCCCCTGCTGCTCCTCCATTTATCCTGGCCTTCTTTCTCCTCCTCCATCCATCCACCCCTCTGTCTCTCTTCCAGCTCATCTGTCCATCCTCCCTGTCATCCTTGATGCCCATTTCTTTCTCTCCCTCTCTGAGTCGTGTGACATTGATTCCAAGGTTGCTGTGCTATTGACTGCTGCTACACTGTTAAATATTTCAGGCAGCGTTTCAGTGGCTCTGTGCCGAGGGAGGGGGCTTTGCTCGGTCGCTCTGCAACTACCGCTGACAAACAGGCTGGCGAACAGACGGGTGGACGGGTATATATATATATACACACACACAAACACACACGCCACCTGCAAACGCACAGAGGTACATTCACACATACATGTCACTCCACAGATGTCACTCCACAGATGGATCTACACACACGCCAGTGCCATATTTGCATATGTTTGTGGTGCTGCCTTGTGCCAGGGTGCGTGGGTCGTGGCTGGTGATGTTGTGGGTATCTCTGTGGAATCTTTCCTCCTGGCCTAAAGCAGCTGAAGTTAATGAATGAGCAAAGCAAGTTGCTGGACCAGCATCTGCAGACTGTGGAGTTATTCCAGACCAGCCCAAATGCATTTCTCAGCATGTCATCTGATCAGCAGCCTAATCACTGTTTGGGCTCTACTTGATACCATGGGACAGGAATCAGTATACACAAACATACATTCACCATGGAGTTACTGCAACACTCAGGCATCTTTGGTCTGGTGGTGTCAAAAAACAGAGAATTTTTAGGGTCCTGATGCGTAGACACAAACATGCACACACCGCTCCGATCCCTGTGGTGGTGCTGACTTTACAGTGGAGCTCCTTGTACAAGCCCTGCGGCACTGCTGCAGTTACTTTTCATAAATGACTTTTTCTACTTGTTCTTCACCACTCTCTGTATTTGCCGTTGTTGAAAGAAAGTTGAGTTTTCAGGACGTTTTTTATTTTTTCTATGAAGTCTAGCAAGAAGGCAACACCAGAATAGTGAGCACTCTGCAAGGCTTCCATCTATCGGAGCCTCTGCATGGTGGATAGTCAGTGTTGCAATGAATGCCTGGATGAGGACAAACTCGCGCAGCAGTTAAGATCCAGAGCTGGCAACAGACTGGTTAGCGCGTCATCACTAATTAATGTCAATCATTGTCAGCTATTGACAATCCACAATGATTTTCAGGGTGGCAAGTGGTAGGTAACTGTCATTGTTTGTTAATCTAAACATGTATTACTTCACATCATCTTTACTTGTACTTACAGGGATCTGACTTGTTTAAACTGTCTGACTGAAAGCTAAATTAGATTATTCCCTGATTGACAGCCAGAGCCAGCCATTTAACCAGGAGCACTTGATTGGCGGCTGTGTTTGTCAGGTTAAATCTAGGGTTACAGGTGGTTCCACTGCTGGTCCTGTCTACTCACAAAAAATATTTTCCAATTTTGCTGTGTTTGTTTTTACCGGCATGGAGCAAGACTGTGGCAGTAGTAGTAGTTCAGTCATTTACTGTAAAGCTGACTGAAAAGATTTTGAAAAGCTTAAATTTGAACTTTACCTGCCTGTACTCTGTGTCAACCCTCTCCTGTGTAAAACAAAACAAACCATGAAAAGTTCTGAAAGTACTAGAGAAATCTGACCCGACCTTTGAAACACGAGCCACTGTATTCCCTATGTCTCATGCTGTGTCACTGGGCCCTGTCATGAGGCACAGAGTGGAAAAAATTATTTCACTGTGCTTCCTCTGTTGGTGCCTGAATCACAGAGTTAGCTGGGATATCATCTCTGAAGTCGACCATTTGCTGGCTGACCAGCATAGAAATGCTAGGATGGGTATAGGGGTATCCGAGAGTTCGTGAGAGCTTTGACTCTGCTGTTGTGGTTCGGGTCAGAGATTGTGTGCATATCGGAAATCACATTACAAATATTGTACACGGAGTGAATGCATCGGACTGAGGCCTGCTGGATGCTGAGTGCCATCTAGTCAGGTCCGTTTGAAAGATGTTCTGTGCCTCCAGAAACCGAGGGGTTAATGAATGTGTGAGTCAGGAAAATATACTGTATGTGCATATCCAGTGGACACATTAATATAAAGCAGTACCCTGACACAACTCTCATGACTCCAGGCAGCAGAGGCATATTTTGTTTGTGCGTGTGCAAAAAATGTAATCAGAAGAGTTCTGTGTTTGCCCCCTTGCACTCTTTCTTGCTTTATTTCCTTTGTCTCATCCTCACCCCTAACCGCTCTGTGTAAGTGTGAGGAGATCTGAAAGTCCGTCTCATGCCTTTAAAAGGCTCGATCGCAGCTCAGCAGAAATACTCACGAGCTCAGTAATTTGAAACAAATGCAGCGCATATGGACACACCTACTTTTCTGGGCTAACAGTGTACAGTTGCAACAGAAAAAACAGGGGTTTCCCCAAGCTCTGCTCCTCTGTTCGTCCTCCTCCCCCACTCACTCACTCACTCACTCACTCCAGTGACACAAGTGGAGTATTCATACTGAACCACATTGCTGTTATTCAGGCTGCATTTGGCTGCCTTCTTTCTGTGTCTCCCACTCTGGTGTTTTCTGTGTCTGGATACTGGTGTATTTAGATGTGAGATGGTGTGTGTGTGTGTGTTTTATGCATCATCTCATTATAGAATATTTCCATGACTGGGAAGCTGCACTTAGATTTGTTAATCTGCGCTTCATAGGCGTGGCTCCAGTCTGCATATGTGAACATTTCTAGAAACTGGAACAGAGGGAGCCATTTTGTAACAAAATACTCAGTCAGTCTTGCAAATTAACAATTAGAGAAGTAAATTGCATAGACTAAGATAGTGTCATGTTGCGTAGTGTCACACAGTGGCTCACAGCACCTCTGGTTACTTGGCTTTAGATAAGAGAAAGCTATGTACAAGTGGAATAACTAGGTTGTTACCCTTTTTCTTCCTGTCTGCAGGTTTGGAGGGGCGCCCCCTCATGGCATGGCCAGAGACTGTTGTGTTCCTCAGCTGCTCCAGAGGGTAAGTCCTCGCCTTGCCTTCATTCATTTATTTATTTCCATTTCAGCTGTATCGAGAGTTTCCCAAATCCAGCCTTTGCTCCGTGTCTGAGACAAACCAATTCTGCACCTAGAGGACTTCTGAACTGATCATACAGAGGCAACTCATTTGGAGTTAACAGCCAGCAGTCATTAATATGGGATTTGTCTCCGGGTAGCATCTGCTCGTCTTTGTGAGAGGCAGGAGAGATGGAGAGTGTGAACAGAGGGAGGGAGAGAAAGTTAGGGGGAGAGGCTGAGAAGAGAAGGCAGCAGCATTGCAGAACATGCTGATTTGCTTTTAAAGTGGACTTTAATAGCTGTAGGACTGGAGCAGAGATATAAGCACATGATCCCCACACTTTTAGCAATGTGCCTGCAATGACAGGATGGCGGAGGACAAAAGGGAACAGGTGTCGGAGGATACTCCGATACTTGGGGCAAGGTTTCATATTGTCACCATAATGAAGAAGTGGGTTTGAAACAAAATGTCCGCACCTCTGTGTCTTTGAACACGGTCAAGAAACTCTCGAAACTGAGCCCGGCCTTTGCTGCCTGTGCCAGCTGATGATCCTTCACTTCTTGGTGCGAGCCCAAGCAGAGATCTGCTGATTCACTGCAGTGGTCCTGAGCAGGAGGCAGAGATTGTTGGGTGCAGCAGCAACAAGGCAGCTCGGATCACCTCCGCTGTGGGCACGCAGCCCTCTGCATTGATGCATGGTTCTGCCTTTAGGGGCCACTCAGCATCATAATGGTATAAGCTGCACAGCCTCATTGTAACCAGCATTTGGTTACGGACCAATAGAGCTCGATTACAGACCATTTTTTTGTATGCTAGAAAAACTGAGCGGAACAGTGGCTCAGCTGTTTGGGATGAAAATGCCAATTCGTATGGTAGTGCTACAAAACACCAAGTACAGATGGGAGCGTGCACTAAACACTGCTACACACCACATCGACATGAACTTCAAAATAGTGTTGGGAGCGCATTCTTTTAGTCCCAAAGTGCACCGATTCATTAAATTTTTCTTATTTTTTGCTGCTATGAAAAGCCAAAACCTTTCAAGGTATGAATACATTGTGATGTATATACCTCAAGATCTTTTTGATTGTCACCTCCACCACACAGGCATCATTTAGAGGTATTTTTAGCATTTCTATGGGAATGAGAAATATCAATAGTTGGTATCAACAAAATCAATAAAACAGTTCTGTGAGGGAAATGTTAGCATTATAATACTGTATTGATCATCAGGGCCTGAAAGTCAAAAGTGGGCTTATTTTTGGTTTCTTGCATGTGTGTGAGCACACCGATGAATGAGCTTTTTAACAAAATAGTAGGTATATGGAGGATTCCCATAGGATTTACAAATAACTCTTGAATTGGTTGCTCTTTCAACTTCCCTTGTTGTAGATACTCTATGTGGTGGGTAGAAAATGTCAGACTCAGTGTGTTGTGGTGTTGTCGTAGACAATGTTGGGTTAGCTTGTGGTATCTAGATGACAGTTAATGAATCAGCATAAGCAATTCACAATTCTGTGAGTGTGAGCAAGCAATATTCTGTTCTTCATGCATCCTTAATTAGATTTTCAATTACTTCAATTAGAAGGAGTACACAAAAGCATATTTCCATGGTTCATTTAGGGGTAACTGTACATGTTCTGCTTGTGTGTGACACTTGTTTTCTTCCCTGCAATGCCCCTCACAGAGGTGACAGTGGCATATCAGAACGGGCTGCCGGTTATCTCAGTCAGTTTGCCGTCCAGGCGAGAGCGCTGTCAGTTCACCCTCAAGCCTCTCAGCGACTGTGTGGGAGTTTTCCTGCAACAGCTCCAGGCAGAGGACAGAGGCATCGACCGGGTAGCCATCTACTCCACGGGTATGTTCACAAACACCACTGTATCAACACTGTGTCTGTTTACCCCAGCAGGTTATACATCTACATGTCCATACGTGCTTTGAAGTGTTCTTGTATTTTGATGCTGTTGAGTGTTCCTGCAGCTTTAACTTTGCAATTTAATACCACTGCATGCACCATGAAATGATTTTTCAGCCCTCACTCTGCAGAGGGTTCATTATACAGGAACAACTGGTCCTTGTAATCTTACTCTTAGTGTGTAAGTGCATCTGCTTTTACCTCTCATGATAATCACACAGCAACAAGCCTGATTATCAAGAGATGTCAAGGGTGTTTGAAATGGCTCGCTTCATCTCTCTTACCGCCTCCCTTCCCATTTGTCTTTCTCTGCAGATGGAGCGAGGGTTGCCTCTTCCACTGGCATAGACATCTTGCTGCTGGATGATTTTAAGCTCGTCATTAATGACACCACACACCTCGTGCGGCCACCAAGGAGAGGTGAGGACTGGCAAGCAAAAGGAAGAGCCTGTGCTGTTTGCGCCGAGTTATTTTCTCACAGTTGGGGTCACTACCAATAAGAGGAGGAGCTGTTTTTATTGCCAACAAGTGGATCATATTAAAACCTGTCTTTTATTTGTTTGTGTGTGCTTCAGAGCTGCTCCCCCATGAGGAGGCAGATAGGCTGAACGACGTCAAGTTTCTCGTGCAGCAGCTCTACACCACCCTGCGCATCGAGGAGCACCAGCTGGGCAAAGAACGTGAGCTGATCGGACGACTGGAGGACCTCAACTCTCAACTCCGCCCCCTGGAGAAGGTCTGACTTCCTTAAGATGTTTGACTATACTGACTTTTTTGTTATTTGTTAGACAAGTTAATTGCTGCTCTTAGCTTAGACACACAAATCTACAAATCTATGCAAGGTCTTTAGCTAGCCAAGCAAGAACACTAAAATATCTGTTACCCTGCAATTAAATAGTTTGCATGTTCTTACATATTTTTCCATGAAAGCATAGAAGAGCTGTAGTTACTCCACATTTTGAAGGACTTGTTTCCACTAAGCCATTAAACATTACTGATGGCCACCTTGGTTATGGGTAAGGGGCTATCTAGCTGGGAAACAATTAATTTGTTATGTGATCAGACAACACAACGTTTAATCTCATTATAGTTACATCTTTATCTGGACACAAGGGTCTGAAAACCGTATCACAGTTGTTCTCGGCCTCCAGTATACTTTTTCTTTCTGAAAATCAGTGGGGACATATTCGTTTCATTTGTTCTATTTAAACTGTCTTACTGTCTGCTTTCTTCTTGACTTCTTCGTAGGTGAGGGAGGAGTTGAGTAAGAAGGCAGAGCGGCGTACCACCTGGGTGCTGTGGGGCGGCATGGCGTACATGGCCACCCAGTTTGGCATCCTGGCCAGGCTCACCTGGTGGGAGTACTCCTGGGATATCATGGAGCCCGTCACCTACTTCATCACTTACGGCACAGCCATGGCCATGTACGCCTACTTCGTGCTTACACGCCAGGTGAGACACGAAACACAACAAATGCAGAAACGCATGTGCATGAAATTTATTAATTGAAGTAAAGTTTGAAGGTAATAAATATTCTGCTGCTGTTTGGGTTGGGGTGAAAATGTAGTTGCGTGACAAGAAAATTGATCAACAAGAATTTTAGTAATCAGTTAATAATTTAAGTAGTTTTTTAAAGAAAAGGGACAACGTTTCTGTAGCTCATGCTTCTCAAATGTGAGGATTTGCTGCTTTTCCTGGTTTTATATTATTGTAAATTGGTTATATTTTGGTTTCGAACTGCTGGCCAGAGAAAATCTGAAGATTCTTCTAAATGATTAGCCGATTAATCTTAAAAGATTATAACCGCCCCCCCTAGTGGTCACATTGGTCCTTCTTTTGATGCTTTTTTGTGCCAGATAATTTGACACATCATTGATTCTTAAAGGGAAATAGCCCTTTTTAACATTATGCCACATTAACATGAAGTCTTTTAGCAACAAGAGAACAAACCCTTACAGTGATTAAATGTAATAGGTATCCTCTCTTTGCAACACCTTGCGTTCAATTTTAATATATTTAGCTATTTAAAAGTCTGGTCTGGTGACACTGTTGCCCTTCAGAATTGAATCCAGAATTTATAAATGACCATAAAGTTTTAACTTCAAGGACATAGAGTCCATCTGATTTTGGATTTATCGCTAGAGTAATTCGGCCCAGGGACTAGAAAAGCACAATATGGTGGATATCCGATGAACTGGCTCCTCTTACAAAACGTTCCTGTCTCTCTCTATAACCTGCAGGAGTATGTTTACCCCGACGCCAGAGACAGACAGTATCTGCTGTTCTTCCACAAGGGGGTGAAAAGGACACACTTCGACATTGAGAAATACAACAAGCTGAAGGATGATATCGCTGAGGTACAGTTGCTTGGTGAATGCCGGATGTTTTGCGATGTAAAATGAGCGCTGCAGTCACACTGGGGAATCACACATTTTACAGTTAAATACTTGGATTTGTAACGGCTGTGCGTAGACCTACTTTCATTCCAATCCCCACACACACTTTCTTCTCACATTTTTTTTACTCCACCCTGCCTCTCTCTCTCTCCTTATCCACCCTCTCCAGGTGGAGTTGGATCTGAAGCGTCTTCGGGACCCGCTCCAGCTCCAGCTCCCAGTTCAGCAGCTCACCGCCAGTAAAGATTGATGGGAAGAGTGACTCCCTTCTCTCTCAGCTCCTACAGCCCTCCTCTTCCCTCCTTCCCCCCTGCTCCCTTCCCCTTGTACCCCCAAATATTTCCTCAGACTCTCCCCTCCCACACCCAATAATCCCATCCCTTTCTTGACTGTGGGAGTTAGTTTTTTCTCCTCGTTTTTTATTTTCTTTTCTTTTTTCCTTTTTACTTTCCTGACTAAAAACTCCAGTTGGAATTGCAAGTAAAAATCGCTAAAAGACAAAGATGGATGGTGAGAATACCGGGAACTGAAAAACTCTCACAACCAAAGGATGGTGACGATGATGAAAGGGACAGTGATGGAATGAAACTGGGCGCTATTGATATGCCTCAAGTCTCCCAAAGGACAGCCTGCAGGGAACTACAGGGGGCAAACAGGAATTATCACACCTCTAAACACTCCAGAGCAGAGCACATGCAGAGGGGCAGTGTGTGTGTGTGTGTGTGTGTGTGTGTGTGTGTGTGTGTGTGTATGTGTGTATGTGTGTGTGTTTGTGTAGGACTTCAGGGCCCACTGGGACACTCTGCCGGCCGACACAGAGGTGTAGTCCTGCTTCGTCAAGCAGTCAAACTGTCAACACACACACCTAGTCTTGGTTGGGGCAGGCTCCAGGGAGGGTCTCTATCCCACACGTTAAAAGTTTACAAGGAAGTCCTGACAGTCGCATCATCAGGGGGACCTTTGTCTGCCTGTGGCTGAACTCTGCTGCCTCTCCCTCCCTGGGCTGCGCCTTCTCCAGGTGATGGACAGCTGTCCCTCCCAGTGTGACCTTTGTCAGGAGTCTGGCAGGATATAGGCATGACGACGCCTCGTTTCCTCTTCCTGTTGATGTCCTGTAGCTGCCCAGTCTGTCTGCGCAAGTATGAGAGTACAACCGACAACAACATCACTGTGTGTTCTTTTATTCCAAAAAAAAAAAAGAAATATTTTGGCACTTTTTATTTTGAAAGCCATAGTATATTTGTTATGAAAAGAATATAAATATATATATGTATACAATCAAATAAACAGATGACCAGAGGCTAGTTTTTGTCAGTGGGGGGAGGAACTCTCTTGCAAACATAATTTCATCAGAAACTCATTTCCATCCTCTGAAGATCTCATAAAATGAAGGAACCCCCCCCACCCCCAACAGTGAAACAACAAATCAAGATGAAGTCAAATGCGCACACACACAAAACAGCATTATACTGTATGCATTTACTACCTTGAACTTAACAATTTCATATCTTTTCATGACAAACACACACAGTATATTTCACAGTAACTACATCGAGGTTGGACATAAGTCTCCTGTGCATGGACACCAAGGGTGGTGTGGGGTGGCGGGAAATGTTGAAGCCAAATCAGGGTGAAAAGTGGCTTCGATTTGAATTGATTGTGTTTTAAGCAACACAAAATATTGATGTGGATAATGTCATGCTTGACCTCTATAATCTTCTCATGAGTACAAAGATTGCTGCGGAAATGCTTAAAAAATTAAGGGGTTCAAATGTTGAGTGAACATTTCCTCAGACAAACCCACAGGCATGTTGCAGTTCAGTACATCTGATGAACTGAATGGCTTTAAAAAAAAAGTGTCAAATGACAATTTCCAGATTTTCAGTGACCCGGCCTTTAGCTCAGACGCATGTGGTGTGCATTTCAACATTTGAATCTTTTTTAACTCTTCCTCATGAAGCTTATAGACAAAATAACAAAAAGTTGCATCTGAAAAAAAAGCGTCATGGCATCTATTCGCAGAGGATTTTTTCATCCTGAAATAAAGGCAGGGTTTTCTCCTCCCACTGTTGCTGTAATGCCCCCCTGCTCCCTCGATGGCAAGGCAGGGTGGACTGCATGCTGTGGTATGCCCTCAGTAGAAATTTGTGAATGTGTAGGAGCATTATTGCAATTTTGTACTTAATTGGACACTTTTCTTTTCGGCATTCCTCACCCCCATTGGTTAAGTCAAATGTTATATAGAAGCCATATGTTTATGTACTGCAGCCACATCAGGGTAAAAAATGGCTTTGATTGGAATAAATTGTGTTCAAGCAACACAAAATATCGATGTGGATAATGCCATGCTTGACCTCTGTAATCATCTCATGAACACAGAGATTGCTGTGGAAATGCTTAAGATAATGAAGGGGTTCAAATGTTGAGTGCCATTGCCTCAGACAAACCCACAAGCATGTTGCAGTTTAATATATCTGAAGAAAAGTAAAGTCGCATTATACAGGAGGAGCAGAATTTGAGTGAATTGCCTGAAGTTTAATATCCCTTTTCCCCAGTATCATATATTTTTTTTCCTTTTCAAACTGCAAGTATTGTTCTTGGAGGTGTAAAATTTACATTTTCAGTGACCCGGCCTTTAGCTCAACAGCATGTGATGTGCATTTCAACATCTGAATCTTTTCTAACTCTTCCTCAGAAAACAAAATAACAAAAGGTTACGTCTAAAAAAAAAAGAAAAAAAAAGGGCATCATGGCATTGATCCACTGAGGCTTTTTTCATCCTGAAATAAAGGCAGAGTTTTCTCCTCCCACTGTTGCTGTAATGCCCCCCTTCTCTCTCAATGGCAAGGCAGGGTAGACTGCATGCTGTGGTATACCCTCAGTAGAAATCTGTGAATGTGTAGGAGCATTATTGCAGTTCTGTACTTAATTGGACAATTTTCTTTGCCGCATCTAGCTGAAGTCTCAACCCCCTCCCCCCACTGGTTAAATCAAAGGTTATAGAAGCCATATGTTTATGTTGTCCGTTTATTTGGGATGGTGGCTGAATAAACCTTTGTCAGCTTCACTTAGTTTTCTGTTCAGGGCAAGGATTGGCGGCCCTCAGTTATTTTCACTCGGAACTGCTGTACATCACCTCTGCAGAGGGGAAGCACAATGACATGACGTCCCTGCACATGGACTCAAGATCATCTCCTGCTTGTGAGTTTCATGTGGACACTTGGCTGAATCCTGCTGAAGAGATCCTTGTGTTTAACTGAAGATTTTCTATTAAAATGCATGATTTTAGGCCCAATCAAAAGTTAGCCATGCAGATCTCAAAGCAGGATTTGGTCTAAACTTTTACTGTGTGTGTGTGTGTGTGTGTGTGTGTGTGTGTGTGTGTGCGTGTGTTTTATCTCCAAGGGAAATTGTGCCTTTTCGATGACTGATGTTAACAGTAAATACAAAGTAGCAATTTGGTAAACAGCAATGATGAGCTCATTGAGAAAGGTAATCTCTTATTTGGAATGACACCTTCATATCAATGAGGTTAAATTTGAATGTTTGGAAGTGGAAATCAGTCTTTCTGTGTGTCTGTGAACGTGTGTTTGTTGAATCCCCGTGTAGACGAGTGTGAGTGCGCTGGGGGCAAAGTTCAGATCACCATATTCATGAATCCTTTGACCCTAATCACTACCTTGTCGATAGCAGTTTTAAAAAAATCTATTCCGCCCACATCCCACTTCATAGCAGTTATTAGCTTCAAACTCATTTTTCCTGAATAGGCCAACTTACACACACACACACACACACACACACACACACACACACACACACGATGACGATGGTGTTTCCTTGGAGATGTACTGTGGGAGGTGAGAGAGTTGAGGCATCTGTCTGCAGTCCAATCCTCCCCTCTGCTGTTGCTACACTTTCTCTCCATGATCACCTCCTCCTTTTTTATCCTGCCATCCACCATTTATTGCCTTTTGTTCTTTTTCTCGTTTCTTTTTTAAAAACTAAAATATATCAAATATAGGGAAACTTTACTATAAAGAGGGTGTTGCATGAATGTATGTTTACATGAGAAAAAAAGATGATTTATCAAAAAAAACTGCAAAGATAATTTAAGAACGTTGTTTGTAGAGATTCCTAGTAATAAAGGGGCAGTGGACAGGGCTGCGTCTTTAGAATCTGCTCTGCCAAATCTGACTTAAATCCCAGCCAACCAACCACTCCCCATCAAACCCCACTCCCATTTTCATCTTATATACTCCCATAAACCCCTCCTCCCTCAGCGTTCATCTATACTCCCCAAAAAATGGAAAAACACCCTCCATCCTCTGTGCACCTATAACCTTGACCTCAGTTACTAACGTCCTGGATTTGAGTCCAAAGGAAAAGTGTCAGGCGCACTCTGTTAGCTTTTTGGGGAACACCTCCCGGTCTTGTCCCCCTCTCCTGTCATTTTCATCCAGCCTCAGCCTTTTTTCTCCAAAATAACATTTTTATTCTATGTTTTGAATGTGTGTTATGTTTTGAATACCTTGTTTGTGCGCATTTACAATAAGAAGCGTTTTAAATGCCTAAAGAGTGACGCAGAATATAGGATTGAAATGATCTTGTACTCCATCCTGACCTCTTAATTTATTTACTTTTTCTTGTCTTTTTTTTCTTCTGTTGACATATGATGCTGTAATGTTGGCAAAAAAGAAAATGTAAAATCCTGTATCATTTATGAAATATGTATAAAAGAGATATGTTATTCAATTATCAATAAAATCCTTATCCAGTTTTTGGAGCCAGTGGTCCAGTTGAGGTTTTTGCTTTTCTCTGTGGAAGTGAAGACTTTGTGATTAATGGACATATTACAGAAATTTACAAGAAGCAGCTTTTCAAGGTCTTGACCACCTCCTCCGGCTCTCCTTGGCCTCCTGCTCTTCCTGTACAGGACATCCTATGAGATAAAACTGTGGGGATAAACTGTTTGTATACAATAGGTACATGAGGCAACACAGGGTTACGATGGTCTGTTGAAACTGCACTTAAGTCTTAAAAATGAAAAAGTGCATAAAATGGCAATGGAAAAAGAAAAGGCTGTTTTCCTTTAAATCTTACTTGTAAAATCTTGGTTTGATCATTGTGCTGATGTTTAGCAAGTGTTATCTTTACCATATTTGCCATCTTAGTTTAGCATCTTAGCATGTTAACATTTTGCTAATAGAATGTCATTAGTTCTGCAGGTATTTGGCCATGAACCAAAGTACTGGACAAAGTGAAACTTTGATCTAATGATGGCACTCAGTGAAAAGTTAAGGTATCACCCAAAATTATTGCATTTATTCCGTAGAATGATATGTACATCTATACTAAATTTAATGACACTTCATTCAGTAGTTTTTGAGACATGTCACTAACAGCCAATAAGGTAGTTAGAAGAAAACTACAGAGATTCGTCCTCCAGGCAACATGAATGTTTGTACAAAATCAATCAATTGTTAAGATATTTCAGTCTTTCAAAGTGATTGACCGACTGAACAATATTGCCATCCATGTTACACACTGTTAGTGTGGCTACAAAACGTACCAGTATCTTGATGCACATTTCATAGTGAAATCACTAAATCTGTCTGTGCCACAAAGACCAGGACTCAGGTGGGCTAACAGTGTCTTATTTCCAGTAGTAATCACAAAAGATTAATGAATTGAATGAGTTCCACCTCATTTCTTCAACAGCCTTGTGGTTTAATGTCTCTGTTTATTTAATTACATATGAGAAAAAAAACTGCTAGCGTCAGGTTAGTTTGGACGCTTTCTAAATGAAAATCACCAACCTTTAGACATTTTCGTGCCTGCATTGGTGGTCAAGTAATGAGGGAGAACATATTCACCTACTGGCAGAGTGTGTCCTTGGTGATGGTCGGCTCGAAGTGAAAGATGCTTAAAAAGATTTACCAGATTGGTTTAATGCTGCTGCCAATTAGATCATTGCTCGTTTTTCCACAGCCTTTAAATCAGGAAGGATGAGAAAGAAAAGATTTAAGACATGTAAAAGTATCAAAAGCCACAATCACACTTAGTATATTCAGCATGACAGCAAAAAAAATGCTGTGTTTTGGGGTAAGTTTAAGATCATGTGAGAGAGGATGGCGGGAGGAGAGTGTGAAGACTGTACAGTCTGAAACAATGGGAGGATGGACTGGACTTGGGGAGCAGAAGGTCAAGGGGTCAAGGTGAGACAGAGACATGACAAAATGACACATGCAGATAAAGTGGCGCCTATTAAAGACAGTCTTCCCCTAAGGATGAACCAGAAGAGCTACACACACTTGCTCACTCAGGGTTGAGCTTGGACTATCAATTATTTTTAACACTGAGAAAACACATCATGATGTTTTTGGTGATTACCAGTCTGCTGCAGGAGTTTCTTGCGGTTGCAGGTGTAGGTGAGTGTAACATTTGTTTTGTTTTCACCCAAAACAAGCATACAGGTTTCTTCGAAACTAAGATCATATTTAAATGATTGTACAGTAGAGTTTTTGTATGATCTGACAGTTTGTGGTGTCTTTTTGCAATTTGTTTTACTAGAGATTAAAGGATATGGCTAACATTATTCTAAGTGTTTGTTATTGGCAACAAATCCCACAAAAAGACCAAAACCAACAATGTGTCGGTCCATCTTCCCTAAAGTGTTTGCACTCAGGCCCATGCCTATTTTTTTCTACTGTACAAAAAAAACAAAATACAGGGCACATCTATACTTTCATTAAATAAGGCTTGGTACTTTCCTGTAAAAGCTGGATACTAGTAGCTTTCTGCAAATGTTACTCAAATCAGAGTAAATTGTGTATTTCTTAGGGGCTACTTTCAGCAGCGGATTAACAAGCATTTGGTGCTCTGAGTATTTATAACAGCAGGTTGGTGTATGCGGGATTGACTCAAAATAAACTGCAGAGCCCATGTTCATCATAATGAAGGAACCTGCCACCTACTACAACTGTGTGGCTCATTGATGCGTTCAAGAGTTTTTGGACAATACTGGGTATCAGTACAGAAAAATATAGAATATCACCGGCTTTATCATTTAACAAAAATAATTATTAAGAAGAACAGTAAGGTTGGACACTATTTACTGTGGGTCTCCATCTTCATCTGTACAGATAAGAGGCTAAAGTTGGCTCCACATTCCCTTAATAGCCATATTAAGTTATTGAAGCCCCATCTGGAAGATTTAACGCTCCCATTAACATAAACCCACATGAGTCAGCGATGTCCTCTGCCCCTTCTGTGCAGCTCGAGCTGGAACACGGTTGGTCAGTCGTACGTCTCCAAAACTGATCGTTTATGCTGTCAGTGGGCCAAGACCGTGAATCGATCCCTCTGCTTTTATTAAAGCAGCAGGTAGTGACAAGATAGACTGTCCATTAGTGGATGGAGGGAGAAAATTATGTGAGTGGTGACATCATTTATGGTCACGAAATTAGTCCTATCTCAAACAAATATATATATTTTTTATAGCTTCCGGGAACTAAGGTGCAGTCCGTTCATTTAGTGTTAACGTAACTTTAAAAATCTGGTCAAACTTGGCTTCCATTAGATGTCACACAGAAAGCCCTTTTCGTTTAAGACACGGGAAAGCGTAAACATCAACGTTTTATGTAAAGCAATCCAACTAAATTGAAAGCTTAGATTATAGTGGCGGTTACTGCTCCAATAAAGTGTTAAGTGTTAGTTGTCGGCTGTCATGTTTCCTGCCTCTGGCCTGTCACCGAAGATGCTTTACCGCCTGGTTGATCAGCCTCCTGCTGTTTCTTCTTTCCCGGCTGATTTTCAGTGATTAACACTTAGTCTCAGTCTTGCCCACTTTGCCCACTCCCATCATCCCTGTCTTCTTTTCCTTTTGTTTTACATCTACCTCTTAATTACACTGTTTAGAGGATATGAAGAGGGGGAGAGACTATTGATTGTTTTGCTGCACCTTTACTCTGCTCGTTCTCCTGATTCTGCAAAGCTGGCTGTGGTGAAAAGACCCACCACCACTGACAGAGCTCGTTGGATAAAGGGGTTCTATGTGAATGGCTCGTTGGCTTTTAGTTCAATTAGAACTGACTCTGCTTTACAGATTATCTTGAATGTCTAAAGGTTTCCTTCAAGGTAACAAGTTTGCCCAAGTGACCAGAATAGATGTATGGGACATGGGGCGGGGTAAAAGATATAGTGCTTGTCTGTGGACTGAGCAGATGGTATTTCCTTAAATCAACATCAATGCCAAAGGGTCACTTCAACAAAATTACAAAAAACTAGTGGTATCAGGCCGTGGGGATAGTTTTGGTTTCTGAGATTTCTATTTTCATGTACTTTCCACTGAAGAAAAGGTAACCATGAAAACTATTGACAGTGAGGTCCATGGATTATTCAGCAGTAACAGGGACAGGGCACTGTGTAGAAGTTTCTTTTTGTGGGCATTTTATGCCTTTCTTTGAGAATTGACTCTAGCGAGATGGCAGGAGGGTAGTAGCTCAAATTGAAATACTCAACTAAAGTGCGTCAAAATTGTACTAATAGTACTTGAGTAAATAGTTACGTTCCACCACTGCCCTTTCAGACTTAATGTATTGTCCAGCCCAAACTCTTCCTATATGGGTCATTCTCATTATCTTGAAACACACATTTCATGTTCATCTTTTTAAGTTTTGTTCATCTTTGCCACCCCACCCACATGCCTCAGCCCTGGACCCATGCTCTGCCTACATCAGCCTGAATGAACCCTGGAGGAACACAGACTACCACGTCAACCAGTCATCCGGCGTGCCCCTGTGTGACAGCCACGTGTCAGGAGAATGGTATCGCTTCACTGGCATGGCCGGGGATGCCATGCCCACCTTCTGCATCTCTGAGAATCACTGTGGCACCCATGCTCCCATCTGGCTCAATGGCAGCCACCCTGAACCCCAAGATGGCATCATCACTCTGCCTGTCTGTGCCAGCTTCAATGACAACTGCTGCCACTGGAACGCCAGTGCTGATGTGAAAGCCTGTATTGGAGGGTACTTCGTCTATCGCCTGCCCAGACCCTCAGTCTGCTTCCATGTTTACTGTGGCCGTGAGTGAGCATGTCTGACATGTGAATTTTTTTTTTTTTACCATTCATTTTCTTGTCTGTTACGGTGCTGATATGTTTATATCTGTGTGTGTGTGTGTGTGTGTGTGTGTGTGTGTGTGTGTGTGTGTGTGTTGCACAGATTTCTATGATATCTGTGATGAAGTGGACTGCGCAGGGCCCAAATGTCTCGAGTCTGGCTGTCGCTGTGCACCTGGAACTGTTCTGGGACCAGACAGACAAACATGCCTGGGTGAGACAGACAGAGAGGGAGGAAGAGAGTGAACTGATATATTGTGCAGAAGACAATGCTTAGCAAGAGAACATGGAAGACAGATAGGCTGGAAGTGGTTTCTGAAAAACAATAACAAGATTACCAGTCTGCCTGGATTTGCAGTAGCCCATGTTGGTCCATTGTTTTGATGAATACGAGCGGTTTTAATCTTATTCTTATTCAAATATCCATGTTTACTTGACTTCATGGTATAGTCAGAATATGGGGCAGAACCTACAAAGACAACACAGCCAACAGGATCAATCATCATTTTGATTTTATCAACATTTTTTATAATTGTACTTTTCTGTCTTCAGAAATAGTTGACTTGCTACACATTCATTCATGTTGAGAGAGGTATACTTTCATGTTCTTGAGTGTGTGAAAGTTAAATCTTGACCTTATACAGTAGCTGAAGATCCATCTGGATTATGTTAGATTCAACTTTGCACCAGTACAATGAAATACAGTTAGCATCTAAGCAGGCAAATAGTAGCATATAGGTATAAAAGATATACAAATATTATTTTCAGTGTAGATTTCTGGAGCTTTTAATTGCCCCTCAGACATCCATTCACCCCATCCATTGTCTTTACATTTAAACCAGCAATGTTTGCATTTGTGCTTTTCCAATCATTTATCCAATCAGGGCTGGACTGGGACAAAAAATCGGCCCTGGCATTTTTGGCCGAGGCGGCCCACCAAAATCGGTCGGACACCCCTCACCAATACACCATGTATACATTTAGGGGGTCAGTGAGGGGTGTGATGAAACACTGGGATGTAACATTTGCACAAAATTGGTGTGCATGACTACAAGACAAGAATATGTTGTAATAGACCTACTATTTGGAAAAAATATTTATAGATAAAATAGTTGATAGGGGGGTCTGGGAGTCCTCCCCCAGAAGATTTTTAGCATTAAACACTTAACTTCCTGCATTCTGGAGACATTTTCTGCACCAATTTATGGTGTAAAAAAGTATTTTAAAAATTTCCCTTTATAAAATTTTTATAAAGGGAAGCACAAAATTCAGGTGGCAGGTGACAATTCACAATGTAAAAACATAATAAAATATTATGCAGTAATCAGTAGCTTATTATTATTTTTATACTTAAGTTAGTTTTTTTGGACAACGCAGAGGTTTCTTTTATATTTACACTGCAGGTTTATTGTCCAAATTAACCTTTTTCATAGCGTTTTTATTTATTAATTAACATTTTTTGGTGCAAGCTATTTTTCAGAACATTTTTAACAAATGCTTTCAAAAAGTGGTGGCTACATGTCCCCAGTGTCCCCAATGTAAATGACCCTCCCTCCTTGCTCCCTCCCTACAGGTTGAGCTACTCCATGTTTACCACTTCACCTCCACTCTCCTCCTGCTCTCTCTCTCTCACTCAGACCTGTCACTTTGTCACTCTATTTTGCTAACACACGCCTCCTCCTCTGCCTGGCAGTGGCCACCACAGCTCTTTTACTCCTTAAGGTGCCTGTACCTGCACTACGCAGGGTACTGCAGCTGATGTTGAAGCTCCTGCAGCCCCCGCCAGCAACCAGATTGGTTGTGTTCGCGCATCTTACATCAGTTTTTGTGAGGACATGTGTGTGCCGACTAAAACCTTCCACACATACAACAACCAAAAACCCTGGTTCACAGCAAAACTCAGGCAGCTTCGTCAGACCAAGGAGGAGGCCTTCAGAAGTGGGGACAGAGTCTTGTACAACCAGGCCAGGAACACAATGACTAAAGAGGTCAAAGCTGCAAAGTGGTGCTATGCTGAAAAGCTAAATAACAGCTTTGCAGCCAACGACCCTGCGTCGTTGTGGAGAAGCCTACGGACACTCACAAACTACAAGAGACCATCCCCCAACACTGCTGGTACTCAACGACTGGCAGACGAGCTGAATGGTTTCTACTGTAGGTTTGAAAAGCCCAGAGTCACACCTCTCCCCCACTCCAACGCCATCTTCAAACAGTCACCTTCCCCTCTGACCTCTCACCTGCCCTCAAGATCTGTGAAGAGGACGTGAGCCACCTCTTCCAAAGGCAGAAGATCAGGAAGGCTCCTGGCCTGACAGTGTCTCACCATCGTGCCTGAAAATCTGTGTGGACCAGCTGGCCCCCATCTTCACTCAGATCTTCAACAAATCACTGGAGCTGTGTGAAGTTCCCTCCTGCTTCAAACGCTCCACATTCATCCCCGTCCCAAAAAATAGTCCATTTCTGCCAGGAGTCAGCAGGTGAGGCTGCGAAACATCACATCCAGCACCTGGACTATCAGCACTGGTGCCCCCCAGGGGTGTGTGCTCTCCCCACTGCTCTTCTCCCTCTACACCAACGACTGCACCTCAGGAGACCCATCTGTCAAACTCCTGAAGTTCGCTGACGACACAACGGTCATCGGCCTCATCCACGACGGTGATGAGTCTGCCTACAGACACGCTCAAAACTGTGGACTTCAGAGGAGCCCCCCCACTCTGCTCCCCATCACCATACTCAACAGCCCTGTGTCTGCTGTGGAATCCTTCAGGTTTCTGGGTTTCTGCCGCCAAAAAGGACAAGGCCAGACTAAAAAAATTATCGGTGCCAACCTGCCCTCCATTCAGGACTTCTACATTTCCGGAGTCAGGAAACAGGCAGGAAACATCACTGCAGATCCATTCACCCCGGACATAACCTGTTCCAGCTCCTCCCCTCTGGTAAGCGCTACAGAGCACTGTAAGCCAAAACCAACAGACACAGAAGCAGTTTCTTCCCACAAGCCATCACTCTGATGAACCGCTGATTTCTTACTCACAGTGTCAGGAACAATTCCTGTGCAATAACCCAGTAAATCTGTCTCTAATCAGCACCTGTTTGCTGGTTTCCACTTATTATTTATTTATTCACCATTCTCTATTTCAGTGCTGTTCATACCATGTCATATTGTATATACTGTATACCAATACACCTACCTCAGGTCATAAGGTCATAGGTCTTATTTATTTTTTCCAGCATCCTTTGCACTATGCTCCATCACACTGTGTACATGTGTACATGTATGCATGTATGTGTATGTGTACCTGTGTCATATCCACCCTCAACATGTACATAATGAGAATAGTTTACTCTTGCATCCTTTGCACTCTGATCACTGTGCTATTTGTCAATATGTCTATATTTTTTTGTTCATAGTGTGTATATTAGTGTTGTCTATTCTGTAGTTTGTGTCTGATTTTTTTATTATTATTTTATTATTGTGTTATGGTATTATTGTATAAGTTCTGATTCTGATTTGACGGCCTGCTTTAGGGCCCATCATTGGCCCGTTTTTTAAAAACAGTTAAAATAATTTACGTTACACCGGCCGCAAATGTGCATCGGCCCAAATTACCAATCCAGCCCTGTATCCAATACTCTTTAAATAATTTACTATATTAGATAACTATTTCAACGATTTCTCTCTACTTTAAGCACACTCTTTCAAATGTTTATACTTCACTTTTAGCTAGCCATTTTAACCATCGATCCATTATCTCTTTCTATTGTTTATCCATCAGCTAGCTGTTTGTACTTCTGTGCTTGCTTGCTAACTTTTGCACACTCTTAATCACAACATTGTTCAGATGTTACAGCTGACTCAATATGTGGATCTAGATTTTAATTCAAATCGTAAGTTCTATTTTGTCAATTTAGCAACTTCACAATCTTTCCATGTACTCCCTTTTTAACTGCAGTAGTACCCTGAGGTTCAAGTTCAGAAACACTGCTCTAGTGTACCAATGTCCTGTGACCACTTAATCTAAACTGGATATAAATATTACTATTCCATACCAACAGACTTATAACTAAATGATCTATCTTACAAAATGATAAGATAGATCATAAAATAGGTAGGATGAGAGCAAAGCAGTGCTAGGGACAGGAAGATTGAAAGATGTGTGTGTGTGTGTGTGTGTGTGTGGTGTGTGTGTGTGGGGTACACAGGGCGGTACACCTAATGATGGGTGACAGGTGGGAACTTAGCCAGCTTGAAACTGCCATTATCTTATTATTCAATCAAATGTGGCTTTCCCAAATGAATGCTTCATTTCTCTATCATCGCTCACTCTCTTTCCTCACTCTCCTGCTCTCTCTCTTTTGTCACTCCTTCTATTTCATTCCTCATTTTTTCTTTACCAGTTCTCTCATTTTTCTTAGTCCTTCTCATATTATAAACACAGTTTTAAAGTCCTTTGAAGTCGATTTATCATCTTCTTCCCTGGAACCCTAAGTGAATTGCCTTGAGGTGATAAACTCCACCCATCTGGTACTCAGTTGATTAAACAAGACTCATCTGATAATAATATCTGACCCAGGTGTGGTGTGTGTCCCATGTTCAGATGTGAATGAATGTGAAAAAGGCAATGGTGGCTGTGCAGAGGTGTGTGTGAACACCAAAGGCTCCAGGCGCTGTGAGTGTGGGCCGGGCCGTGTGCTGGAGGAGGATGGCCACACCTGCAAAGGTAGATACTTGCTCTGATGTTCATTATGACACAGCAGTCAATGTTGTAAAGAGTTACTTGAACCAGGAACCCACACGATGATCTTCATCAAAAGGAAATATTCTCTGTGTTGCCTCATGCAGAGACGGCAGGCTGTCACGTTAACAATGGAGGCTGCAGCCATGGCTGCTCCTCGCTACTGGAGTCCTATCACTGCAACTGTCCCAGAGGGCTGGACCTGGGAGAGGATAAACGCACATGTCAAGGTGTATGTCTGTGTGTGTGTGTGTTTCATGTTTTTATATCCTGTTGGGGACTTTAACCTGAATGCACAATAACTGATGGATTCGCGTCACTCTGGGGACAAAGGTTGGTTAGGCATGTAGTTGTGGGTGGGTTGTCCCACCAGAGATAGTGGAACAAACGTGTGTGTGTGTGTGCGTGTGTGTGTGTGAAAAATAAAAACAGAGATTTTGAGGTTAGATAATCATTCAGACAGCAAGGCAAGCTGACGCAGAGATCCACACTTACATTAATCTGAGGTTTTACCAAAGGTCGTAACTGATGTCCTTAACATTTCAGTGAAGGGTTATTTATTTGTCAGAGGTCATTCTTAATCACATTAGCAGTGGATAACATGAATGGCCAAATGTTTTCTGCATGCTTTCTTTGACTTTTGTTTGATAAATTAGACGATCCTTGTGTAAACACATGTTGCTTTCAGAACATTTACCTTAGTGTCTTTTCTATTATACAAGACATAATGATTATTTTTACTATGGGTTATTGTGTAGATAATTTTTCAGATTATCTGATATTATCTAATCATGCAATCTTTTCAAAGGGAAAATGCCCGTCAGTCCAAGGAGTTTCCTCAAATGACGTGCTTTCCACCAACCAATCAAAGATATTAAAATAAATGTTCTAACCCTTGATTATTTCTATTTCCAATTAATTAATGTTAATTACTTTTTCAATAATAATAAAAAGTTATTATAACATTTCAGAAAATTGTCAGGCTGATGAGGCAGATTAAACACACAGGCATTATCTTGTTTTCTGTTAAAAAAACATATGAGAACTGCCACAGAAACTTGCTTTCCTGTTTAGTGTGTTTTTATCCAACCACATGACTGTGAGATGATTTTATGCTACTCTTTGTTATTTTATCCATGCAGTGTTTTATCCATGCATGATGTGTGTTATTTTATGCAACCATAATAATATTTCATATCTTTCTTGCAGTGCCAGTCCAGTGTGATTCCAGCTCTATTATAGTGTCAGTTCCCAAGGACCTTGTCGGAGGATTGGAGCTCTCCCTGTCCAACTCGTCTTGTCGCGGTGTCTCCAATGGCACACACATCAACCTCAGCTTTAGCCTGAAAACCTGCGGGACAGTGGTGGAGGTCAGAGCCATTGAGTTGAAACTTTTAGTCTGCAGTTAGGCATTGGAGAATTATTTGATTATTATATCACTATACAAAACAACTGTGCCTTAAAAGTGGGCTGTGTAAGGTTGTCTCAGATTGCAAAAGCTTTTTATAAGTACAGTAAAATGAATGTTGACCCCCCAGGTGACAGATGACAAGATTGTGGGAAGCAACCTGGTGACAGGCCTTCCTAGGAGCAGCCCAAGCAGCAGTAGGGACTTGATAGTCCGCACTAGCAAGTTAGTGCTCCCAGTCACCTGTGAGTTCCCCAGGGAATACAGCGTGTCAGACGGATACCAGGCTAGTCTGCGCAGTTCAGCTCTCGAGCTGGCAGGCCACAGTGAGGGTGTCTTTCCCTTCTCCCTGGAGCTCTTCAAGAACGCGGAGTTCTCAGAGCCCTACCGCACTCCGCCCCAGCTCCAACTGCACGACTCCTTGTTCTTTGGGGTGGAGCCAAAGGAGAGAGTGGAGGGCCTCTCTGCGTTGGTGGAGACCTGCTTCGCCACACCAGGGCCCAAAGCTGACCAGGCCCTCAAGTATTACCTCATCAAAGATGGGTGAATACTGCTGAAGTTTAAATGTCACAGCTTGTGCTACATGACATGGTACACTTGTTGCAAAGGCCTTAGATGCACACGTGGAACAGTATGACCACATCTTTTTTAAATGAAGAGGTTTCTCTTTTGCTACCCTCTAATGTTAAAAGATATAATACAATATTCGAGCTATACCCAGTTCATGGTAACTTTGCAGGTGTTTGTCTTTCCTCTGCTACACAGAGAGTGATGTGTTTTGTAGTACCTAAAATAACAGTTGTGTTTATAGTAAGTACAGGATTTCACACACTTTGGCTGACATTAAAGAAGTGGTATTTATAGAAACTCTACCCTGCCAAAGCCATTCAAAGATGTGACAGTAGCCCAGAGTGGTATAGCAATGATCGCATAGCACCAAAGATGCCACAATATCAAAATTCATCAAAACACAGATCATCATATTATATCAACATATTAACATATTTTCTCAAATACTGTACCACATCTCTGGTGGTATGTAGCCATGCAAAAAGATTTGGTTTTGCCCAAGCTTTAAGATATCCGTCTCTGGTATTTGGTGCTGCAACATTAATAGTCCTTATAATAAACATCAACAGAATCAGACCCAGCTGCTGTGTTCCCACTAAGCCTTAGCATCACCAGCTTGACACAGGACAGGAAATCTCCACTCCTTTAAGGAAATGTCAATTGAAAAATGCCACTGACAACAAGAACATTTTGAGTGGAAAAAACACAGATCAGCCTTGTTACCTTTCACTTTTGGCAAAGAATTTCTCCCTGTGTATCCAGAGTAAGATTTCCTCTTGCTGCTCTATGGACTCCAGCATAGCAGGGCTATAATCTATTTTCACGATTTCCTATTAAAGATACAACAGAGTTTCAGGGCCTTGGGGCAGCTAACCTTGATGAAGTGGTTTGTTTGAAATATATATGGATCACTGTGTACTGTGCATGTATGAATGACTCCATTTCCCTTCTTTGGCATCCTATTCAGGTGTATCTTTGATGAAACTGTGACACAGTACTCGTCAAAGGACCAACTCTCTAAGCACTACCAGGTCCCTGTCTTCAAGTTCATTGGCAAGGACAACCAAGTGAGTTAAAGAAGCATGCTGGGAGCCAGCTGGCAAGTGTGCATGAGCTTGGGTCTATGTAGCACTATGCTGTAAGGACTGTATTCATAGACTATGTGAATTAGCAGTTTCTTTGCACTATAATTCTGTTCTTCTCTATCTCTGCTCAAAACTCGTCTCCTCCATTTCCAGCAAGTGTTCCTCCACTGCCAGGTGTTAGTATGTGGGGCAGGAGACTCCCGCTGTGCTCAGCATTGTCGAGGACGTGTCCGCCGAGAGGTTCGGACCGGTGAACCTCAGGAGCAGCACACACTGAGCGGAGGCCCCATCTACATCCTGCCTGAGCCATGACGCCATCATGAAGGCGTTTTCCACAAGCAGCCACAATAAACGCCACAAGAACACGCCGGCAGCACAAGCCTGGATTATAAATAAATTACATGTGCAGAGTAACATTTAGATTAAAGGATGGACTGACCATTTCAGTTTATTTAGCATTTAAAACACCAGACAGGCATACACAGGGCAGTCCATTGTGCTGTCCCTCATATACATATATACATGCAGATATACAGTATATACACTCTTCTTTATTCCTATTAGTTCCAGTGTCAGTCACACTGCTGTAGATCACTTAAATTCTGGTTAATACATCCAAGTTTTATGTGGCTTTGCCACTTTGCCTGGCAGCACAATTTATTGACATTAAAGTGAATGACATTTCTATTAGAAATCACTCGGAGGGGCCACAGTTCATTTGTAACAACTACAGCATGAAGGATCTTTTTCTAGGTCACACTTTCAGGCATTTCTCAGGCTTGATCACAGCTTAAAGATTTTGTGGATTTATAAAAGTGGTTTATATTTCAAAGCATCACTGACTTAAAAAAAATGATATGCAGAACATCCATATATGTATTCTGACTCATTTGCTCGGTGTGATCGATGGCTGATGGACGAGCACACCACACATTCCAGTGTGGTGGAAAAGAGATGTCACTTGGCCATGCCCGGAAAATATGCATGCGCTTCATCACTCTGACAATTAATCTAGAATTAATCATGTCAGTTAAACTGCAATTAGTCAGGCATTTATTCATAAGAAATAACTTACATCAGACATTAACATAGTAGCTGTAATAGGCATTACATTGACACGACATTGGTTTGAGCAGACTATTGTGATAAATAGCAGCAAACAACGAACCATGTGAGCCATAGTAATTATCTTGTCTTTCTATCTAGAGGAAATTAATCCAACTACAACATCCGTCCCATCGGGCTCTTTGTGTGGAGTCATCAAAGTAATTTATGGTAATGGAGTTATAGAGGCCTAAAAATGGCCTAAAATGAAATGGAGTATGGAGAGTATAACATGCATAAGCAATTAAATAAGATTCTGAAAGTCATATTCAGATACCTAATATCTGTACTGCCTATGAATAAAGCCTGAGAAACTATTCATTTGCAGTCCCCATTTACGTCTCCTTGTCTTGAGAGGGCTCTTGTGAAGTATCTCCTCTGACAAAAAAAGCCAATACAATCTGTGGAAATACCCATGTTTCTGTTATTTGTCTGCGAAAGCATCCAGGAGTTGTTCCATAGTGTTCCTGTGTCACAGTTCATCCCTCTCCTCTCCCTCGCAGACACACGCTGCCCTCTGGCTGTTCATGTAAGGTCTACAACCAAGAGTCCACACTGTATTGTAGAGCGTGTCTGCCATGGATTCACAGGCTGAGAAGACAGAGAAATAGAGAGATGATGGAGGCGGAATACACAAGTGTGTGATCTGTTTCTGCTGGTCGTATTCATGCCATTCTATATTTTAGATCACAGCACAGAAAAAAATGAGTATAGTAAATATCTGCAAATATCTCACCTTGGACCTTCGACGCAAAGCCCAGACTCTTATTAAGGTCAGAGCAGATGCCATACAGACACGAACGAAACTTGGCGTCACAGTCGTACTTGCTTGTCCCGCAAGTGTCATAGCACATGTCGAGCTGGTTACAGCATTCTGTCATAGCAGGGATCCCCAGGTCAAGCTGTCAAAAGAAAGAACTGTATTGTGTCAGTACAGTTTGCTAATGCAGAACTAAGCATTTCCAGCCATTTTGGCTGCAGTTAGCTCCATTATGTGGGCCTTGTCATGTAGTTCTGGGTTGTGGTGCTATGAATAGGCCACCTACAGCATTATTCACCTGGAATCCCACCAGAGAGGAGCTGCAGCCGTTGGGCTCTGGGAGTTGGTAGCCTGGACGTGGTTGAGGTGGTTCTCCTGAAAAAAAAAACAACATCCAGAGAAGCTCCATTTAATTCTTGACATGAAGTGAAGGCACATTAACAAACTAAAGTAAACATGTGCACATAGTCAAGGTCTTGGTTGCGTGTCGTTTCACAGATAAGATGTAACGTCTGTTTGAGGACGTCTGTATTGATTATGTAACTGTAGGTGCATCTATGTCCCAGAATGATAACCACAATGTATTCAGGTTTCGTTATCTCCAGCCCAAGGGCCTACAACACTATCTTGGATCAAGAAATGACAGCGGAGGGATCAATTTGAGAGTCAAAGTGTGCTAGGAAAACAAACAGAGGGAATCATCTGAAAATTTATTGTGGATCAGGTGCACTGACAAAACTTTTTTGCTCTTCTGAAAACTGCTCAGCAACAACAACTGTGACTATGTAGCTATCTCTGAGCCCCCTGAATCTTTCATAGTCCCACCTCCAGTACACTAAAAGACTTCTCAGTAACCTAACAGTACGTTATTTCGAGAGATTCACTCTTACCATATCTGCAGCGGTATTGACATACACCGTTGTGTCCCCCCACCAGCTCTACCAGGGAGTCAAAGTATCCGTGCACAGTCTGGAAACTACTTCTGATAGAGTTGAGGCTCCAATTGTTATCATCTTCAAGTACCAAGGGTCTGTTCAGGAACTGGATTGTCTGGACTGGTTTGATTTCATTCCACTCCTCCTCAGAAGAAGGTTGCTCCTGGGCGACAGCTTCAGCAGTAAGAGCTTCCATAGCAGGGGCATCTCCAGCAGGCCTATCGCTTTTCGTCCCTGGCTCTTTGGCTGTTGCACCATCTGCTACGGGGACATCTACTTCAGGTTTGTCAGCTGCTGGGCTATCCACTGAAAGTATTTTTGCAAGTAGATTGTCACCAAAAAGGGAGTCAGCTGCCGGTACCTCGACTGCAGGTGAATCACCTACTCTGGCATCTGCAGGAGCTATATCTTCTTTAGGTTCCTCTACAGAGGCAGCTGCTCCAGCACCATCAGTAACAGCAGGGGCCTCCTCCTCCTCCTTTGCTTGAGTCTGGTAGTGGCCCAAAGTGGCACACATGCCCGTGGACACGCAGAGGAGGAGAAGGACCACAGTCTGAAGCAGCATGGTGTTGAACCGGTGACAATCCAAGCAAAGGAAGCTCTCCTCAAGGCGAGGTGTTGTTAGCAGGGTGAGAGGAGCGGAGACAGTGAGGGACAAAAACAGACTCTGCTCCTACTGGCTCTGCCAACCAGAGAGCAGACTTTGACCTGTGATTAGGTTCTGTCAGACAGCAAGGCACTCTCTCGTGTTGGAGGCAAAGGTCAACCCCATATCAACCTAAAGAAAGCTTCAATAATTCCTCTAATCTTCTCATTTTCTGTGAGTCTTGAACACATCAAATGAGTAATTTCATCACAGTTTTATCCACAAAGCTTTAATGGGATTTTTAAGACTCACAATTCCCATGGAAATTGAGCTGATAGGAAACCCCTTCTTTCTATTCACTTAATTAACACTCATCTAACACACATCTAATGCTAGCATTTCAGTCTGTGACCTTTATCAAGACATTGCAAACTTCAAACATTCATCCCCATAAAGGTCACAGACTGGCAATAAGCACAAAGACAAACCCAACATTAAATGATTCATTTGGCCCTGCTGCCCTCTTGTGTTTGAATAATAATATGATCCCAAGGCTGTGGATTTTTCTCCCCTATAATAGTGTCTCTGTTCAACAACAGAGGTCTGTTTTACCCACACCAGTTGTGAATTATGTTATGTGGTCACAGGTTTTTTCTTCCTATTCCTTATTCAGTCTGTACAAATGAATACTTTTTGTCTCCTGTAGCCAGAAATGAGAGAAAGTTCATGTTCATGCACAGCTCCATAGAGAATAATCAGAAAAACATGGTTGTTAACAATATGCAGGCCTTTTGTGCTGGTTTGAAACAGTTCCCTTTTCAATTGATTAACATTTGAGTAGCTCATGGCTGTACAAACATCACAACTAATTAGAATTCAGCCTTAAGGTGGTGGAAGTTGTTCACGTTGACAAATACTAATTGAACTTCCCTGGGCCACTGAAACAACAAATGCGAAATGTCAAATCAAGCACGAAACACAACATGTGCCTATGATCACTGCACCTAAAGCATTTTCATGATTTAAGGCTTGAAAATGTTGATGGTTGTGCAGCAAATGTGTGCTGGAAAAGAAAATACCATTACTCAAAGCTGTATTTAAGTACGACTGTTAAGGTACCATTCATACTTTTATTTTGTGCTACTTTCTCTTTCTGTGGTGACCGACAAGGACAAACGCACTGCAACTTATAAAAACCTCATAAAAACGCATGCAATAGACATATTCGTGCACAGAATGATCTGCAGTGTGCTGGAGCAGCATATTTCAAGGAAAAGGTTGTTATTTTTAAATTGAAATTTGAAGTACATTTGAAAAACTAATCAGAGACAATTACCGGGTTCATCAGTGATGACAGACGGACTGTAGCCTGTTATGAACCTTGGCGTGTACAGGGGCACATTATTAATGTTTGCTACAGTTTGCAAAGTTTCCTGCATTAAACCCACCGGTGAAATGTTTCGTCCTCACAAATAAAGTTTTAAGCACTGCGAGACCAAGAGCTTTGATTTGACATGCTGAGGTCGTACAGTGGCATCTTGTGGTCACGTTCATCAAAGCAGCTTCATCAGGTATTTAATACCTGTAAGATAATAAGTGAACTGACTGGAGAAAGTATACTGAACACCCTGCCTGTAAACCTTTGCTGAATTACCTTTTCTTTGTGACACCCAGAGTCCAATATCACCAAGTGTCCTCATCTTCATCAGTGGTGGTGGTGAGAGGGGGCAACAAGTAAAAATCTCCTCCATCGTAAAAACACTGAGTCTGAGGTTCTTTGTTTATCATTACAATTCTTGGCCTTCTGTGGCCTATACCTCGGAATATTTCTGGTCTTATAATGCCTATTTGATTATCATGCAGGTTACAGGATGTCTGTCAACACTGGTGGTAGGAGAGTAGGTTATGTTCTGTCATAAACACAAAATCTCCTTACAAATCAATAAAATTACTGTTACCCGTATACTAAGATGTTTTCTTCATTTGCTTGGGCTTTGTCTATTTGCATGTGTTTTCTTAAGTTGCAGAGGGTTTGCCTTTGTTTGCCACAGTAACTTTCTACTTCTACTTCACCACATTTCAGAGGCAGATATTGTACTTTATCCTACTATATCAATTTGACTGACATAGTACAAATATAGAAGAAAAAAAACTTTAATTAATAGCCCGGGCTTTTATTTGTTTAAATCGCTTTAACTCACCCAGCCTATATTTGGGACAGGCGTCTAAATGAGCATGTCTACATTGACAAAAGTTTAAACATTTATATTGGTATGCATGATCAAGCAAGTGAACCGGTGGGCGTCAAGAGGTTTTATACATCCAAAGAACTTCTATAAAACCCAGACCAGGCTTCTAATTGAGACCTGCCTTTAAGATTTAATCAGAATCAGAATCAGAATCATCTTTATTGCCAGGTATGTGTACACATACAAGGAATTTGACTCAGGATTGTACATTGCTCATGATGTGCTTACTCAACATAACACAATAATATAAAATAATAATATAATAAAATAAAATCAGACACAAACTACAGTATAGACAACACTAATATACACACTATGAGCTCTTCTCTGGTAAAAGTTACCAGAGAGGGACGGCAGAAAACGTTAATTAACAAAAACACAAAAAGTACTACGGAGCGTAAACCCGAGGCGGCCGTCTGCGGCGCCATCTTAGGTTCTACATACAGAACACACAATCATTTGCATCCAACAGTATGTAGCTAATAGCAGCTTCACCACACTCTAACTACAACATCAAAAAACTGCTAGAATGTTGCATCAGTGACAATAACCCAATAGTAAAATATGAAGTACAGTATAACACTCAAGTCTGCATTTTGAGTACTTTTACTTTTGAAAGGTATGTGCATTTTACTGTTTGAATGCAGGACTTGGAGTATTTTTACATTGTGTTACTGCTCACTTGCTGATACCGGTGGTAGTTTTAGTTTTATCAGTGTCATTTCTGGTAAGGAGATGTACTAAACTAAAGGACTGCGATGAGGATATAGGTCATGTTATAATTAAATTGCTTGCTGGTTGTCAAAGATGTGACTATCAAATACTTAATCCTTCATTTTATTGCACATTGCACTTTATCTAGCGCATGCTGTTTGACTTTGAAACATCCATCTCGAGCAATGATCCTCTGGTTTACTTGGAGATGAAGCTATTCACTGTCTGTTTGTAGATCACAATGTATTTCCTTCCACAGCGTCCTAGTGTTGAAACATAGGAGAGCAGGAGTAAGTACAAGTCACCAGTCTCCCAGCTGCCACATATACATTATGTTCAATGTAACATGTACCGTCTTATGGCTTTGCTTGCTTTTTCTCTGCTCAGCACCATGTTGATGTTGTTTTCCAGATCCTTGAGGGACAAATACAGAGTAAAAAACACATGACTCTCATGTCACATAGCAGGACGTGCATCTGTAGTACTGGGGAAAACGTCAAACTCCCTTGCCTTGTTGGTGGTCTTCAGACGGTCATTTGAGGCTATCAGTCTCATTATCTCTGCCTGGAACCAAACAGAAAAAAACAGTAAATAAAAACTGCAGTGATATGCAGAGCAAATGCAAAATTTATGCTCAGTGTGACGTGTAGCTGTGCTCTTCCTAAGCTTGTGTGGAACAGGGTGAAGGGGTAAAAAATATGTGAGGATAAGCAGACAGTTTATCTCCCTGCACCTTGAGGTCTTTGATTCGTCTTTCAGTGGCCGTGGTTGTAACAGTGGACACCAGCTTCTCCTTAATCTCCTCCTCCAGCTGTTGGATCTCCCTACATGTGTTCAACACCTGGAGCCTCTTGGATCGGACACTGTTGGTGCAGCTGATCTCTGTGTCCTGCAGCCCTGACAGAGATGTACCTGTCCAAACACAGAAGCTAGCATGTAGGGCCCACTGATGTATCTGTACTTGTACACACGTACCCTTGCAGGCATTATAAAGTCACTGCTGACTCACTGAAACTACAAAAGTCTCTTTATGCCTGTTATTATGACAAAGTGATTATTTGTTCAGTCTGTCCACATTAGACATTTAAAAGTTAGCATGTGCTTTTGCACTGCAGGGTAACCTGCAGTAAATGCTTAGATGTGGTTTGCCAGTGATGAGATGCAACAATGTAGTCTTGAGACTTACTCTTCATGCCACTGTCCTCTGGGCCTGTGGTAGCTGGAACATTCTGTAATTCATTTCGGACTCTGAGGTTAAAAAAGAGCAAACAAGCCTAAAATGTTAAGAACGTAAAGTAAATAAACTGTCTACTTTTGTTTTTAGACAGACCTTGCAGTACCGTTTATTCTCCTCTAGAGCTCTTCTGGCCTTCTGCTCCAGCCTGCAAACCTCTTTTTCAGCATCTTCTAACTCCATTTGCCATACTTTGCCATTGCCAAGACCTTTGAGTGACTGTAACATAACAACAACCCCAAAAACATATTAAGACTTCTATTTTTTATCACAGACGCAAAAGATGCTCAAGAGAATTGCTTATTCTGTGACTATTGCAAAACTATTTGAGGCTCTGTCTTTTCTGTGGAAAGTTTAATGTCTATAATGTGCAACATATTCTGTTATGACAAAACATCTCATTGCCAGCAGTCCTGAGTTCAGTTCCTAATGGATCACCACGGAAATGACCCTTTAAACTGTGACTGAACTGTAGGTGCAGTTTTGTATGTATTTAAAAAAAAAATTCCAGTTACATATTAGCGTTATTGTTTCTAGGCTGATTAGACGCTTTTTGTTGTCTTTCATTCTTACACGGTATGAAAACCAATTTCCACAAACTTTGAAAGTGCCCGAGCTTGATAATCCATCACATAAACATTAAGACATTATGTTATACTTGCTGCCATTCAACTGACACACCTGTCAATGTTTTTGACAGGAAGTAAGGGTGGTAAGTCACATCAATGTCTCAGGTTCTCCTTATTGACATCTATATTCAATAAATGTGCAGTGTACTTTACCATGTCCTGTAATGATGATTGGGAAGCCATCATGTGGTTGACATACAGATCATAATCTGTCTGGAAGAAAAAAGAGAACATAATTAACCTCTATGTATTTGGTTGATTTATTTTATTATGTGTCTTTGTAGATCTAATTAAACTTTACACTATTTGTGGACTTAATCATAGACTTCAATGCACTGCTCGAGGGTTGCATCACGTCACAACAAAAGCTTCACTGTATTGTGCTGGGAGGTGTATCATGAACACGACTAGTAGGGTACAGATCTCATGTATAACATACCCAGCTATGTTACGTGATAAACAAATATTCTCCTTTCAAGTTACTGTTTTCTATTACTTTTTACTATTGCAGCTTCTGTTAAATTCTATAAGCATAGTGTGTTTGTGCTCTTTGTTTTGATCATCAAAGGTTTTCTGCTGTCAAACAATAACAAGATTTCCACCGCATGAGAATATCAGCCTCAGTGTGGACTCACTAAAACAAATGGAAGTCCAACAATGATAAATTTTGTTTCATCAATCAATTTTGTTTATGTGCAAAATACTACAAAACACTACTAGTGCAATGCAAAATTACAAGCATGCAAAGCAGTTTTACTGACAGTGTGTGCAAAACACAAACTTGCATGACCCTAAGACATTTCTTATGAATGAGCACTAGTCCAACCGTTGCCCTCTAACGACCTGCTCCCTGGCGCATCATGACCAGGTTCCAGTGGTTGCTCTACTTCCGCTTGCTACACCAGGGACTCACTCTCTCTTGGCTCTAATGCGTCTGACGGCACATGCTAAAAATGTGCTAGTGGATACAGAGGAAATGGAAAAACCTTAATTTCCCTCAGGATGCGTCCAAAAACTGGCGAGCCTTCACATACATCATCAAAGACGTCACTGAACACCACAAGGCGGTCTCTGCTGGGCCAGCTTTGCACTGACAGCTTCTTCAGTTCCTGGGTATGACAGGAACACACACACACACGCAACATTTGCAAGTTATGATGTGCATAAGAGTCTGTGCGTGTCTTTATTCATGCACCTTCTGCACTAGTGTTGAGGAATATTAGATAGCATGAAAATTCAAAAATAGTGCAATTACATGTCATCGTGCATTGATGTCATTGTTTGTGTGACCATTCTCACCTTTTGTAGTTTCCTCTCATGCATTTCAGCAACATTTATTCCAGCCCAGAGGTCCTGCTTGGCTCTGACTTGCCTGCCAAACCGCTGTTTCGTCTGTAGCTGGCCCTCATTATTCAGGCCTTCCTGGTCAGAGTGGCTTGAACAGAATTGTTGTTTCCCCTCCAGATCAGACAAAGAGTTAGACTTTTTCCGGGAAAAAATTCTTGGCTGGACCGGCAAAGAGTTTGGGGAACAGTAAACTATCTTAGGTAGACTTATAGCTTCTCTGTCTGCATGTGATGAGCGATCAGTAGCTGGGTCTTGTTCTGACCTAGAGACTTCAGACTCTACTAAAGCTGTGCCAGTGGAGAACTCGGGGGGAGACTCTTTCATTTCTTTCTTCTTTACATAGGTCAGCGCCTTTGTCCATGTCTGCTGGAGTGTCAGAGGGGTTTCTTCTTGTCTCTGAGACATCCTCCAGAAAGACTGCTTTTTCTCCCTGTCAGGTTGACTCTGGTTCAGGCTGCGAGGCCCCAGATGACCTGAGTAGTAGCTCAGAATATCCGCCTTCTGACCAGCTTCAGCAGCCAGCAGCAGTCTGTGGATGTCGCTCCCAAAACACCTAGGCTTTGGTTTACAACTGCTGGACATGGCTATGAATGCACAGAACATATTAATTATATAGTTTGTTAAAAAACAATTTTTTAGTAAACCTTTATTTAACCTTAAAACAACTTCTTATTTATAAGGATGACCTGGCAAGAGGGGATTAGCCTCTTGAGGCAAGGTGACTGACCTCACCTCAAGTACAATACAGTTTCCTATACTGTGCAGCAGAACTGTAATGTTCCTATTAAATACACTTAAGCAAAAAAGAGACTAGCTACATTTCTACAAACTACATTTATTTATATTATAGCATGTTTATAAAAAAAAGCGTTACAATTAAACGTCACAGGCAATAACAATGAGCAATGTTGGTGTCTGAATAGGATTTGTCGTTGTTTTATGAAAACAAACAACAAAGCAACAAAAAAAACTATTATTTAACTTTTGAAAATCCAGACAAATCAAATTCACCTATAGCAAAGACTGCTAAGTATTTTTGCTTTTACATTAACGTTACTTAGTTTAATATATTTCTAATAAGCATTTGAAGCATGTGAACAAAGCAAACATGCAGAAACTCTAAATAATAACCTCACCTGTTAACTGAACTGAACTTTTGGGCGGAATCACGACCAAAAACAAACTTTCTTCACGGCCACAACAGTCTGCGCTTTACTCGGTTGCCACGGAGAACGAAGCGCGTAATGCCTGCGTTGCGTTCAGTGTCTTGGTAATAATCGTACCCATGAGATATGAGGTGCTAGATCTCATTTGTAGGCATAATGAGGCAAATAAAGACGTGTGTAACGTTGGGCCTGCAGGGCAGACAGTGTTCAGACCATGAAAACCTTTTCACACATTGTACGCGGTAGGTTTAAGTTCATGTTTATAGAAAGCCAGGCATTAGCTTGCAAAGCTCCCAGCGAAGTCACTGTGAAACAGCTGTGACCTATTCTTAAAATGATTTATGATAATAACTTTTTGTTATTTAAGTGTTTGAAAGATATCAGTCTGTGCAGTTGATTACACAGGTAAAATAATTCAACAAATCAATAAATGTGGAGTTACAAACACACACCCAGGTGAACACACATAGATTTTGTCATTTGACTTTATTAGGCACACATGAGCCAGAAACAATGCTATGTGACCTGGTTGAAAGGTGTTTTTTTAACACTGCAAATAACAGAACTGTGCTCTGCAAATTCTCTACTCTACAACGGATTCCAACAAATCCCCCTTATCTTCAGGTGTTCTTTTATGACACTCAAATGTTTCCTGTGGGCTGCTACAAGTCCCTGCACACAGTAACCCAATTACCAGACAAATCTTGTAAACTTTGGCTACTGGGGGAATCTGGTTGCTGCAAACCTGCTATAAATACTTTGATCAAACTATTATCTTAATCCGGATATTCACAATAATTGGGTTCTTGTGTGCAAGTGAACACACAGAGTGCCTACAGAGCAAAAGAGACGGGGAAGGAGCAGGAGAGTGAAGCTCTGCCTCGCGGCTGAAATGGACAGAATAGGAAAGCACCCAGATGGCAAAGCTGAGTATGAGGGAAGAGACAGCGTATCATGCCATGCTTCATTTAAACAAGTAGGGCCGTGCATTTTTTTGTTTGTACGTTAACGTTTGATGCAATCCAGTGGAGGATGGAAGAAGCTCCCAGAAGTGGACTTGCCAGAGGTTTGAGCATGCAATGCTCACAACAGTGAATAGGAAATGCCAACGTTAATTTCCAGATTTATGCATTACAAAACAAATTAGATAATATTTCTTTGCAGGGTCAGTAATTATGATTGTAGACCCTATAGAGCCAACAGAGATTACTTAATGTGCCATTGGTAATTTAATATATTTTTTAAATAATAAAATGCAAGTACAAAAAGAATAACCTCACTGGCTTGAATGCCATGAGGACACCTTCCCCCAACCCATACAACAGATTCAAGCATCACACCAAAAATGAAAAATTTTAATTAATTGATTTCTTAGAAAATCATCTTTTTTTCAGTGTATTTCCATGGGATTGTACAAGATGGCAGCAGGAACAGCTCAAAAGGCAAGAGTAGAATGAATGTATTTTGTGCAGTAATGAAACTATGATAGGTAGGAAGGGTAAAATGTATGACCACTGTATATTAAGTACTAATAATGCAGGCTAAAAGTGGGGCCCAAGTCGTGTTACACATTCCCAATTGTTTTCCCATTAGTTTTTAAATTGGGTGGGAAAACATCACTCAGTATGTCCAGGAGACTACAGTTATTTCAGTTTGTCCGGCAAGAAATTTAGGGAAGATGTTCACACCATTGCCAATCAATTTCTATTTTATGTTTTGACTTTAAAAAAATGCATTAAGAATTGACACTGACTTATCTCTATAAATGGCTGATTAAGTGCAATAACATGCTGACCAATCTGGAGTGATGTGTTGTCACTTTGACTGTGCATCTTCATCAATAAAATAGTATGCATTAACACGGAAATAAATGCAATCAAAAAGGTAATTCAAACACAAAATAAAGAATGATCTAGCACACATATGTGTTTTTCAGGTATTTAATAAAAGTCATTTGGGCTACTGCTCTTACATTTACAGTTGAGACATTCCGCAATTATTCTGGGTAACAGTAACATGTCTAGACCGTTTTGTTTATCTTAATATTTACTTTGTACAAAACAAAAAGGCCAACATTATTTTTCTTTGTATAAAAAATATAAGTTAATTTAAATTTAACTCTAATTAAGAAAATAACAATAGTAATAATAGCAATAATAATAATCATCAATAATAATGATAAAGATCATATGCTAAACATAGTGCAGACAATGGGATATAACTGGTGCTGAAAACTAGAAGGGACAGTGCAGTGTCATGGAGTTGGGGGGGGTGGGCAGTCAAAAGCTCTCTCTCTTTAACGCACACGCATGCACACACACGCACACAATATACACACCCAGTAAGAAAGTGCACGACTGCCATTCAGTTTAGCACCATCAGAGCATACATCATTCTGTACAAAATAATTCCTAGATTGTACACAGTATACATCTATTACCGTATATGCAAAAACTATACATAAACTTCAGTTTATGTGCATGCTAACTGTTGCTCTTGGTTGAAGCTTACTGGAAGCAATTCTGAAAAGTAAGACAGAGCACATCACGCCACCACTGAGCATCTGCAATCAACAAAACATTCATCAAAATGTACATTCACACCATTGGGGGCCACAGTACCAGTCATAAAACTAATTATTTGAGCGGTAATTTCAGTCTTGGAGGGACGACGTCCACTGGAATGACAGTTTCAGACAAAACTATTGTCTTTTGGAAGATCTCGGAAACTCATTGAGAAGAGTCCAAATGTACCCCCCTTGCATGATGTGAGAGAGTCAGCATAAGGAGGATGGTTTATTTCCTTCAACAGGTCGTGGATATGAGGGGAGCTTCTTGTTTCACACCTGCAAAAAGTCAGCCAACATTCTTGAGTTGCAATCCCAGAGATAGACAGGTGATGCACTTTAGCTTAACAGGTTTGACATTATGGGACAAGACGAAGCTGACCATTGAGACGTCTCTTGAGCTGCTGTGCCTGGCATCAGCAGCGTTCAGTGTCATAAATGTTTCACAATAATGCTTTGAACCTGAAAAGACAAAGAGACTGTATGGGCTCACGAAAGAGCTAAAACTAATCCCATCCTTTTATTTAATTTATACCTTAATAATTCATCATGCTTTGACCTTGTGTTATAAATCAGGGAACTGTGTGGACATTACATAAGGTGGTTAACATGTAAAAAGTTTGTTGTGCCACTGCAAACAAACAAATCTTTATAATCCGCTGAGACACTTAGGCAACTTGTGCAGTATCCTCATTTTACTTGTGTTTTATTCATGGTCGTAGAAGTGATTGCTGATTAATGAGTAGGGACCAGATTGTAGTGTCAAATAATTTATGATGTGATAGAGGCGTGTAAAAATGTTATGAGAGTGGAAATCCAATGGTATGCAGTCTTGGCTTACTATAAGTCATGTGGGGGCTGGGGTGGGGGGCACTTCAGGGAGAAACATTGTGACTCTCTCGTGACTGTGTTCACAAGTGTCGACATTATCTAACTCCTCTCGTCACAGTCCATCGTTTTGATGAATATGCTGCGGGGGGGATTTCTGCCATCTCCATGTAGAATAGGCTGTATGTCTCTCTTCAAGTACAGCAAAGGATTTTTGCTCAAAAAGTGATATAAACACATTCTGACATCCACCTTCTCAGTAAGTAATCTGCTCTACACATTCCTTCTGTCTCTGGGAATACCTTGCTGAAGTAGTGCACGTACGATAAACCTACCGCAGAAGGCAAACAGTACCAATTCATAAAAGCCTGAACCGACAACAAGATTTCACATATTCTAGCCTGTGAAAGGTTCAGAGTAAGGCCTCTGCAAATACAAGACCATAAAAGAATCAGCTCAAATGAAAAAAAAAAAAAATCACATAATAGCATAAAACAACCAAAACGGCACAAGTCCATTTTACCAAATTAATTCCCAAGCTGAGTGGATGTAGGGTGATGGGTAGAAGTCCCTCCCCATCGGCTGTTTGTCAGTCTCTGGGATCGGTGAAACCGTCAGTGTTGACACCTCCGTCACCCAATGAGGTAACTGTGTGTTTTCAAAGTCAAGTCGCCTTTAGCTGATCCGTCTCCTGCTAACACAGGATGTGGGTTCTTCCCCTTACATAGTTCCAGGTCCGTGGCAGGGTTCCGGTTGTATTCCTTTGGTGGGCCAGCAACCCCTTTGGTAGTCAGTTGTCCACCTTGACAGGGCCTGAATCAGAAGGCCGGCTTGGCACTATGTCCTCCGCCTCTCCCCGCGATATCTTCTCCCACTGGCTCAGGTTCTCCCTGCAAACACAAAGCACCTCTGTCATATTGACACTCAGCAGGTCTGTACTACTGACACAGCCGTTTCATTTCTCACTGCAAAGACATGGCTTTGAATTGGAAAGAAGAGGACGAAATCATCTCGCCATCAATCAAACTTCATCAGTAAAAGGGCAAAATTACATGTATGATAGTTATTTCAAACAAAAACTAACTGGATGAAATTAGCCAATGTACCTTTTATTTAAATGCTTAATGCATAAGGCTAATATTGGCCTTTTTATTTGATTAAGCTATTATTAGATGTATATATGTCATTTATCCACTGCTGTCAATTTTCAGTTTTCTTGTTTGAATGAAAATTAAATGTACCACTGTAGCCACTGATGGTGCTAACTAGTACTAGCACACGACATCATAACACTTTGCTGCCACCAGGGTGTGCATCTGATGTTACAAATGGTATGGACAGAATATTGTTAGAGATAGCCAGAACAGAAAAAAATATAAGATGAAATCATGCAACTTCAAATATCAGAATACCAACTTGACCAGAATATCAAATTATGGTTCTGAAGAGATCTATATTGAAAGTCAACAATTTGCAACAATCAACGAAACAAATGTGCCATTAAACCGAACCGTCATCACAGCCAGGCAGCACCAGTGTAATTAATTAGTCATCTACAGTAGCAGTCTTATCAGTGAAGGTAACCTCTCCCCCCCTCATGCTATAATCAAGTCTGACATTCGAGTGCAAAGAGTGCTGCCCTTTGCTGCCATTCCATTCAATTAGCCAGCCTGATGCAGTTTACACGTCTGTGGCAGATCCCACAACAAGCAGCCGGGCTCCACAGGGTCTAGGCCTGCTGCCCACCCAGAGCCGTCAGCTGTACGTCAGCACCGGGCACTGCTCACTTTGTTTGCATTCCCTGCAGATCAAGGTCACAGCGTTTTAAAAACCAGCGTGTTACCCCAGGAGGGCAGGCAAATGTGCAATATGATCCTGTTCAACAACCAGAAATTATGCATATAAATACATTCTTACACTCTTATCGAATGTGACATACGTACATACAGACGCACAATGTCACACACTGATGCAGCAAGTTAGGAAGAGCAACCGTTTCCTGTTGGTGCACTGTATTCTATGTTGCCATGTTTCAGTCTGAATATATTTTCAGAAAGTCTGAGCATGTTTGTTTAATCCAATATCAGTACAGTAATGTGTGTTTTATTTGTATTTTCAGTGGAATACTTGGAATGTGAATGAATCCGAAGCGTCATGTGAAGTGACGTCCGTTTCTGATGGTGGAGGCAGCTGATTGCAACAGGATCAGCTGTCACTCGGCTCTAACAGCAGTAGAGACTTTTGATGGAGTTTGTGTCTGCATACATGTGCTAATACTAATGAACAACACAGTTATCACTGCAAGAGCAGCAAGTTTTCTCTCTGTAGCTGGTACTGTTTAACAAACACCTGCACATGAAGAACAACCTGCATTCTGTATTTATACTCTGTCCTGCTTAGATAGCTTCATTATCTGCATCATCTTTATTGATATTCTGACCGTCAATTCATTATTGAATAACCCAGAATATGATCATGGTGTATTTTGTACATTGGAAATGATTCATCAGGCTAAATCATTTGAATTTAGGGGAAATTGATGAGTAACACACAAAGCCGACGCTCAGAAATGATCAGCCTCACGCTGAATGGAAATGAAGATAAATGATGTATCTTGTAAAAGAAGTTTCTTGCTGACAGACTGACTTTAATATGTATTCATAAAATGGGGGAAATAACAGATCATTAAAAGAAAAACTGAGTGATACACATGAGTTTAATCTGGTATCTGTCTTCACTGAGGTACAAAACTCCAGTGAAGTGAGGTATCAGGTCAGTCCGATCAGCTGCAGCGTCCAATCAATAACTGATATCCAATAATCAGAATCAGAATCAGCTTTATTGCCAGGTATGTGTACACATACGAGGAATTTAACTCTGGATTGTACAATGCTCACGATGTGCTTACTCATATCACAAAATCACAATAATAAAAATAAAATAAAATCAGACACAGACTTCAGTGTAGACAACACAAATAAGGGGGTGTGTCGGACAGTAAAAGGCTTCAGTGAAGGCGGCTCTCGTGCATCTTCGCTCCTCTTACCTATTAAATCTAAAGCACAAATAAGAGCTTTGGGACGATCTGCAAGATGCCCAAATGACTTCTAGGTTCAAGTGAGGAGCGAAGCAGGAGGAGCGAGGACATAAGAGACTTGGGATGTACTGCTGGTCAGATGAGGCCAGCACAAGCGTCACTTGCTGCACTTCTAGTGTCTGTCAGTGCATGTATTGACCATATCCTAATGTTAAAATCAGCATGAAAACATGGAGCTTTTTGATTTGTTTAGTGTTTTCGGTCCATTTCACAGTTATACAGTTATTTCATTTCACATTTAAACTATAGCTTTGAATACCTACTTGCAGGCTTTTAGAAGAGGACTGGATGGAGGGAAAAGTTCTGATAGTGTCGTGTAACATGGAATCGCAACAGCATTGTAGAATCCCACCTAAAAAAAAGACAGAAAAACAAACAAGCACTTAAATCTCATGGGCAATAAGGAACAGTGTCCCCATGAGTATCTGATGCGTGGTGGTGTTGGTGGTCTTAAATATCACACATGCTCAAAAAAAACATACAGCCTGCCACAAACTTGATCTAAAACCTACTTCAACAATTCTGACGTTCCCACAAAATAATTTTGTTTTAATGGCTACAAAACAATCCTATTAGCCTTACGCTGCACGCCCACACAGGTGTTTTCTCTACTTGGGCTGATCTGACTTCCAGTCAGGCTGAAGGTGGGTGGAGTTACGCTGGAAATGACGTGACATCATCAAACTGAACCACTAAAAATAATGGTGTAAATTGCCACACCCTGAACAGGTGCTACAAAACTAGCAGGAGAGTGACGAAGTGGTACGCCCTGGCACAGACTTGAGAAGAGGTCTCATCAGGTATAACATAAGTGAAAACACCTGCTTTGGGTGTGTAGGTGCTTGACAGTAACTGTGCATTCACGTGGTGTCGGAAAAAATCAGAAAAATGATTTCCCTGGGAAAATTCATAGAACAACTACTCAGAAAGTCTGAGAAAGTGTTGGTACACGAGTTACCGAGTTGTTGATGTCATTCACGTAGAAACATGGCGGACGACATGGTTGATGGTTCGAAACGTTCGATTAATGGTGCAAAATCACGTATTGTATGTACACATTTTGCTAAAGTGTCATTTGTAATATGGTATTAGGTTATCAGCAGTTGCAGTAACAACTCTGGAAAAAAATCACTTTGTAATATTAAGCATGTGTTGTGTTGTTTCCACATTCCGACTTAAAAGCACATGAACACACCGAAGTTGGAAGAACGACTTCACAGCTCGAGAAATGGGACCATCAGGAGCACGTGAATGCACAGTAAGTCTTAATGTGTTTTTTGGTTGTTTTACCTGTATTACTATTTAATGACATTATTATAATTATATCCTTATCAGGCTATTTTTGTCTAAAACTACGATAATGACTATAGTAGCTAATTGATCTGATTTGACAGGTACATTATTTGCTAAAATGCATATGGGTACACGGGGTCAGACATAGTTTTGGTAATAGTTTAACATTTATTATTGATCAATATGCAAATTTTATTAAACTTATTAGACTATATGTTGTTTCTATAAGAATGGTAAAAATACAGCTATCCTTAAACTTAGATTTTTATCTTAATATATAGTATGTATTGACAATATACAGACACTGGTTATTGTAGTATGTTTTATTTTAAGTCATTATTTACACTTTAAGTCAACTATTCTACTATTACATCATCATAATGAACAAATTTCTTTTGAGTGTGTGTGTTTGAGGTGAAGAGTAAGCACAGTTAGAGACACATGAGTAAAAGTGCTGGTCTTACTTGGCCTTGGGGAACCTCGTCCTTCTTGTCTCTATCCATCATAGGGATCGGCTGAATTCCAATCTTCTTCATCTCATCTCCCTGTGGAAGAACAAAATAAGAAAGAGAAACTTACTTACTTTTTATTACCTTACTATTTCTATTTCCTATTTTTGCATACTGTGGCACACCTTCTGACCACTAGACACTGTTTTCTGCTTTACAAATTGTAGGACGGCTTGGTGTAGCAGCATTTACAAGTACTAATAAAAGGTCTTATACCGACGGCATGATTATGATGCCATTTAAACTCCAGCAGTATCCCACTGTACCTCAGCCCAGAACTCAGCATAGATGTCGTTGGCTGTGAGTCGTGTGATTTGCCATTTCTTGGTAACAGAACACAGGTCACATGCTGTCATCATCAGACCAATCACACGGTCCCTGGAGGGGAGCAAAGCCTCATTATAGCCGCGTGGAGAAACTCAATGTGCCATTTCTCTGTGTGACGCGACAAAACCTGGTATGATCCTGACCTAACCTGTGCACCAGTGCGAGTCATGACCTGACCTGTGTGTGTGGTTGTTCAAGTCCAGTGCACGTGAGGTCAGCAGCTCCGTCAGCTGCTGGTGGTTGTTGAAGTACAGGGCGAGGTCCGTGGCAATGATGGCCTTCCGGATGATCTCCAACACCTGCTCGTACTCGCTGGAATTCAGGTTGGAGAAAATATTGTGCCCTTCCAGCTATGAGAAACAAAGAGATCAATAAAAAAGCAAAAGCTCCACTTATGAGGCGTTCAGCTCAGCTAGACTGCAACATGTTGTAATCTCACGTTCATCCCGTGTCATTTTGGGTTCATGCCCTGCCAGCAGATCCTGGACGTTACACAAAAGGGCACTCAGAAATAAATCATATGATCCTCTTAATGGATCTGTAATTGACAGTGTGTGCGTGCATGTAAGCATTTGTTTTCAAGAAATTATATATTAAGTATGGATACTGTTACAGGATGCATGCGTGTAAATTAGAAGAAAATGCACTTATAAATGTGAAGACTATCTGCTTCACTTTCACAGAAAAGACACAGCTATTGAACAAATTAAAAACTAAAATTGTAATTCAGTTCATTTTATCTAAGAGTTTTAGCCTCTGAAAGTAACCCTAACCCTATGTGAGTATTTGAAGATATGCGTTTTTGCTAAATAATGCAGTGTCTGGCAAATATGTTTTTACGTGGCCATTTTTTTCTTTATAAGTGGGCTTCAAATTGTGACCTGCTTTCTGCTTTGCTGATTTCTGTTATCATCCTCTTGCTACACTACTTTGAATTATTTTGTAATTTCACATGTGACATTTCCACCATCGGCAAGGCTTTAGGCAAGTCACAGATGTGACACTGATATGCTTACATAATGAAAAGGTCAAAACATGTTATGCAAAGCACATCATTTCAAACTTAATTTTTGAACTTAAAAGACAATAAATAATGAAAAATGTCTTTAACTGTACAGTAGGTTCTGCATAGTGGAGCTCTACCTGCAGGATGGAGACAGTCTGGGAGAAGTGGTGTTGTTCCATGGTTGAGGTGGAGTACAGAGCCGCCAGCGGATGGTCAAACTTCTGCAGGTATGTGTTGCTGTACCCCCGATGGTCCAGATCATGGCACAGGCAGGCTATCAACAGACCCTTCTTCTGTAAACCAGAGTCGGAAGACAGGAAACAAAAAAAAAATCTTGTAATCACAAAGGACCCCAGATGCTAAGCTTATTTTTAATTTTGTTTCTTTTTGTTGAGGAGCAGTCAAATCCAGACCAGATAAGGAACAAACCTCTAACTCTGTGAACATCCCAGTGGTTTTCTGCAAGATGGCATACATACAGTGTGCCACCGTCACTGCGTGTTTCCAGTTGTGGTAGGGCACACGCCGGTAGTTCTTCCGTACAGACATGGTGAACCGGCACAGCTTCTCCAGCTCAAAGCTAAACATGGGAAGAAAGGATGCTTAACAATTAATCATCCCAAGCTTTGGTGAGGAACTGACACTTACATGGTGGTGGCCAAGTGACACCTTACCTGGTCTTTCCACAGGAGTTATGAACCATGTAGATAAAGACAGCAGGCCAGATCTCCTCAAAGGGGTTGATGTCAAAGTGGAACCTGCAGGTTGGGGGAAGAGAGTCTTAAATTAGCATGTACAGCACACAGAGGGACAGATGAGGATTATGCCCCCTCTTCCACACTTCTTGCAAAGCTTCTTCATTCAGGTCTGGACTCTGTCACCACCCCTTTCAGAGACCCATGGCTATAGACCATCTATACTTGGGGTCACAGCAGAGATAGATGCTCTGAATCTGAACCTGAAAGGGGCACTCACGTTTCGATCTCTTTATAAATGGGTGCAGGGAGGTTGAGCTGGGTAAGGGTCTTCCATTCTTCTGACGTGCAGATGCTGTGATAAGACAGCTTTTCCATCGTCACTCTGTAAATGCATTCAGAGTGCCGGATCCGGTGGTACATCTGCAGAGACACACAGGGAAATCACAGAACAGGAATTAGTCTATAAAATGTCGAGAGAGAAACTGAACTCTCCAGTGCTATGAATACCATGTTCTGTTGAATTCTTTAGGCATCACTGCTGGGGTTTCCAAAAGGGTCAGACAAAGTTATCCGCAACAGTCCTGCATCATATTTTATCTGTGCGTCACCAAAAAGTATCTCCACATCTGGTTTTTATCCCTGTTCCCTTCCCAGACAGGCAGCAGTACATGTGCCAAGCCTCACACCTTCTACCATACATCATCATAAATCAGGAGTAAGTTTCCTAGGGACGTGAGGCATAAATTACAGCTAAACATAAATCCTGTCACTGGACGGATGCAGACTGCTCGTCCTAAAATATTAACATGCCTCATCAATTTTAAAACCAACTTTGTGACGCTGCTCCTGCGTACGTTTGTCGCACGAGATGATGGTGAGTCAGGCCCCACAGAGAGGAGAGGCTCTGACAGACAGACCACACAACGCAAGCTTCAAGAGTTGGCATGCTTCATGAAACGGATGTGTGTTCCATGTAAGGGAGGATCATTACAAAAAAAAATTCATATTTTTGGGACAATGCACACTTTAAATGGAAGCTGGGGGGACTATCTTTGTCAACCTTGGGAGAAAAATTCATAGACTACTCCAACACTCAAATAGGGAAACCCGTAGCCTAGTAACAACTGAAACAAGCCTTCCAGCTGTAATGAATTTAGGATGGTGATGAGGCCACTACTTTAAAAGGTGCAGTTATCTGAAAATAAGCCAATCAGAACTGAGTATTCATGGCCATGAAGTGTTATATAATCTTCACTTAATCTTTCTTACACTGCAAAAGATGACGAGCAGGCTTGTGCACGACAGCTATGAAGAGAACGGGTTAGGCTTTTGCTGTTTGAGAAGATCAGTTAGTCGTGTAAATAAATATTTGAAGGCTAATTGAGGTTACTCACATTTGCACAGTGTAAGGCCAGAGCACAAAAGACAGCAAACATCTTAAAGTTGTTCTCATCTGTTTTAGTGAAGGCACTTCCGCTTAGCTTGTTTACCATCTGCACCACACCTATAACGCTCCCCCTGCTAACGATGGGCATGCACAGGAGGTTCCGCGTGGTGTAGCCGGTTTTGAGGTCCACCTCTCTGTAAAGGAAGACATACAAACATGTGAGACACCAGTTTTACATTCATCACAGAGTCATTTAAATGACTTTATAATGTGAACTATACAGTAGAGGAGCAACATGTTTAAGTCTTAACTCCTGGTGTTCATTGAAGGCTTCTACAATGAGTCGGAGTATGACAGTGTTTTTATTCTAAATACAGGAGTCAACTGAAGAAGGACAAGTCATAGCACAACTTCAAGAAGGTTAATTAGAATGTCGATAATCATATATCATAGAAAAGTTAAGTAAAAATGGCTTGTCACAGAGTCTGTTCGAGTTTACCGGTTGAACCGTGGGTCTGCATAGGCATCTGGGATATTTAAGACTTCCCCTGTCCGAGCCACTTGGCCAGCTATTCCCTTGTCTATAGAAAACCTACAGGGAAAGAAGAGAGGAGAGGACAAGAGTTAGGTTTGTGGACTTCCTGTCAATGCTTCTCAGTCTGTCTGTGCTGGGTGAAAATCTGCTCAATAATAAATCAGTAATATGAAAATCCATGCGGAAATACAATCAACAGCACATAGAGTGAGCAGATAAACCATTTTTACTGAGAGAAAAATGATTATGTTCCATTTTAACTCAGAGTAAAAATAGTACAAAATCAGCAGGTCCCGCCCCCCTCCAACCCACACCCATTGGCTATATTATTGGAAGCATTTTTTCTGAGCTGTCTTTGTCACAAGAGAACCTTGTGGTGCAAGAAACACACTTTTGGATGTGTGGAGACAAAAAACCCATTTAAAAAACGAGGTTAAACTGTTCTACTCTTTCAAAATAAAATAGTAATTTTACAAGAAAGTCTATAAACTGAACAGTTTGAGACTTATTTATATCAAAGAACACAGACACTATCAAAATTAAATACACTATTTTTGCACACTTTCATGGAAATGTTACACACCTAATTTCTTTGGTTTTCCTAAAGACAGGTTTGCCTTCTTTCTCTTCCCCAATATCGAACAGGTCAGAGTACAGTTCTTTGTTGTTGTGATCTACCTGGAAGAGTGCACACCTATCCGCATTCACCAGGTTTTTTGCATATATCTGCAAAAACAGCACCAGGGACAGAACCTTGTTAGCAACATCCGGGGTTTGAAAGAACTGAAAAAAAACATGGAAAATTACATCTAGCACCTGTAACTTCATTAAATCGGATACATCACTGCAGTTTTAATTATTCCTTTTGGATGGAACAGTTAGATGTGGAGAGTTAAAGACACACACACACAATATAACTACAGGTCATTCCAGTTCATTTCAGTGTTTGAACCAGATGACTTGAATGACCTGAGATGACACCACAGTCACAAGGCAACACAATACATACAAACAGAGAGGAGGGTTTCACGTTTTACACTCATTCAGATGACATTTGTTTTAGATCTGCAGACGAAAGCCGAAAAAATATTGCAAGCTGAAAAACCTGCCTATTTTATGTTGAGTCAAGTCTAAACATGTATTATATGTATCTATTATACTGAATAATTATAATAATAATATTTATATATTATTATAACTAATATCACTATTATTATTACATATACACATACATATGTATTGTCAGGAAATATTAGCAGTGCTCCTCAGGCATCGAGATGCCCTGTGTGTATCAGTATTACAGCAACATTCCTACTCTTTTTAACACACATAACCTAACACACACTCCCTGGATGTGTAGCCTTGAAGACAATGTAAATGAAAACATACGTGCAGAAATCACACTCACCATAATATGTTCAAGTAGAGAATCTATTGCCACAATGTTATCAAAGTATGTTCTGTGCGAAAAGAAGAAATGGCGCATTGACATGTTTGACAAATGGGAAGCTCTGATGACGTTCACATTCAAGACATGAAAGCTAAATTGCCTAAAATGCAATAATTTCTTCACTGTGTGAGCAAAAGGTTTTATTTAACCTTTGACCTGACATGAGGAAAGATGAGACACTAACTCATTTCCGAGACCATATCTTAATTTTCTTATACTATAATAAGAATATGGTTTAAATACAAGGTTTTTATGTTTTCAGCAGCATTCATTTAGTGTTAAATCAGGTAAACTGTCCCAACAGCAGCTCTTACTTTGACACATCTAGTAGGAAGTCATTGAGCTCAGTCTGTTTGGCGAGGCCTCTGCACACCTAGAAACAAATAAAAATAGATTATGACCCGGCACTAACACGTATCAAACATTTCTCGCAGAACACATACAACTTCCTGCATATAAACAAACCAACTAGCTGTCTATACTCTTGGCTGTGTGCCACCTTCATGAGTTTCAGTAACAACAGAGTACTCTGCAGTGAGCAGCTAACTGTACCGCTAGCTGAGGCTCAGAGGTCCACTGTGGCCAGTGCTGCAGTGGGACGCCGTTTCTCTGAGGTGTAGGCTATCTGTTCATATAAAAACAGCACTGGGGCATAATGACGTCCTCAGGGAGCTGTTTGTTGAATCTATGGCTTAGCTGATTGGACTGGGCCCAGTGACAACCCAGTTCCTGTACACAGTGGATTTCCCCATGAAAACACCAGTGCAGAACCAGAACAAACAAAGTCATCCAAGATAAAAATAAGTGGGAAGGGTTCACCTTGTTTCTAGATAAGTCTTTAGTGAAGTGTTACAGTACAATATGTCTGCTATGATGTACAATTTCAAATTTCAACAGTGGAAGTTTGCTCACCTGTACTTGATGAATAGCAACTGATGCCCATGCTAAATTAGCTGTTGCAACCTGGAAAAGAAAGTGAAGCTTAGCTCCCAAAAAACCCCCAATATATTACAATTAACACATGTTATCTTACATTTCCAAGGTTTAATCAGCTCATATCACATATCAACATAATTATCTGTTCTGCACATCAGGCAGTCTCATAATCACAGAACAGCCATTTAGCCTACAGATTCATAGCCACTCTGGGGACGCAGACTCACACCTGTAACACGGCTTTATCTGCATGTTTAGCATTGTGGATTAAAATTAAAGCAATGCAAAATTAAAACTGCACAAATACATATGGTTACATGAAAAAGGGGTAAAATGGCGTTTGTGAAAGGGGTTTCTCTTAGTGACAAACAGAGCATTTTCACTTAACTCTGCTGTTCCCCTCACCTGTACAGAAAGTTTTAGTGTCTCACAGATCATTGGTTTGGCTTTACAGCCTGCAACTTTAATGTTTTGGTTAACTTTCACCGCTCTCGTAAACCTCTTTTTCAGCCGCTGTTTGCAAATATATAAGATGGCAACATATATATGAGATTTTTACAGAATAAGGGAATAATTTTAAACATTCAACAAGTGGTTTATTTATGGAAAGTTCTAAATCTCAAATGTGAATCTTCACTGTGACTACAGTTGCTTGAACAAGCTGTATGTTACGTGTAACAACAAGTTACAAGTAATTTTCTAGCTTATGGCACTGCCATTTTATAGAATGTATTTCATTAACAAAATCCTTGGAGACAAAAATGCAGCATTATTAAGTATTTTCCACAATCAACTGAACCCCACAAATCTAATAAAGATCTTAAACAGATCCAGATTAAGGTGAATACCAGGCTAACTGTAGTTCTGTGAGCCTCTTGATGTGTTTTGTCTGGGTCAGACTGACCTCCTGGTGACTGAGGTTGAAGGGCTCCTTGCCCCAGTGCCGGTGCAGCTCCAAGATGGCAATGAGGTCCCCGATGGCAGTGAGAATGGGGAGGCACAGGACAGAGTGAACATGGATCCCTGAGTCCTGCCCTGTGCCGTCGGGGAAGCGCTCGTCCTGCAACACACAGGTCAGACACAGTGAAGGTCAGACTAATGATAATAATAGAGGTCAGTGTAGCTGGTACATCAGCTGACAAAGAAGACACGTCATTTGCCCATCAGCAGGGCAAACATCTGTCACCCTATTCATGAGTTTTCTGACTTTTGTTATTTTTTGTCTTTTTTGAAACAGAGCACCATTGCTAATATTTTCCTGAATTTCATAAAACTCCAGATATTTTTCCAGCCTCGTCTTGTTCATCACCTCCTGTTCAGAGTGTGACGTGTGAATGAGGACACTGGGCATCTAGTAGGAAAAGTCCCCCATGATTTATTATCTGTACTCTATTATAACAAGGTAAGCACTGCAGTGCACAAGGGCAGAGCATTGCATCGAACCAGACTCTGATGAGCAAGGATGAGACATTAAAACATATATAGAGGGCAAAAAGAGATCTGTTATCAAACATCACAGCAATGCAGCGTTAGAGAGTTAGATTCCAATGATGGGTAAATCTGTACGGGTTGCGAGACAAGAGCCTTACCCCCATGATGTCCTCTACTAGCAGTGTTTTGCGAGTCTTGGCAACATGAGCGGCAATGGTTGTCCCAAATGCGATGGGGCCGGAGGGGATGAGGCTTGGAGGGCCATCCTTGGCCCCCGTAGGAGTGAACAAACATAAACTCTATTGAGAAGCACAGAAAATGAAACGGGGAGGGAAACAGAAATGGAGGAAGAAAAAAACCCCGTCATGCATACACACAACTGCATCAGTGTATAAAATGTATTCAGCAAATGTCCTCTGCACTTACATTGTTGCATTCTCCCAAGAAGTAAAGTGCAAATCCATCAGCTTTTGTTGCTGTGGAAATAAGAGGCACGCAGGTCACATGTGTGCAGTGAAAGTGCTTTAAATACAGTGAGGCAGTCCAGCAACAACTGACATTAGCTGTCATTGTATGTCCATGTTACATTCTCTCATATAGATGTGTCCCACAATAAATGGCAGGTACACCTGAGAGGTAAAGTGTGACAAGGAGACAGTCCAGTTACAATCTAATAACCATCTATTAACAATGTCCCACATAACAATGAGGGCACTCTGACCGAGGGCTTTGACTGCCATCCAGTTCATCTCATTCCCAGTCCTCCTTTCCAGTCCCATTTCACACTGATATATAGGTCATTTTATCAGACAGTGTGACAACAGACAGACCCGTGGAACATCAGTGAATATATAGATGTTCAGGAAGTTAATGACTAAAGTGGTTTGGGTGAAATGGTCCTTTGGTTTGACTCTTTGACGAAAGCTAATGTATTTATATAATGCAACATATTAGACTTTGACGGGGTTAGAGGGATAAAGTCCTGGGCTTGTCTCTGTCTAAAATTATACAGTTTGTTTGATCATTTCATTCAATCAACCTGAATGTTTTTAATGTTTTTATTCATAACAATTTTTACTGCTTATTTTTTAATTATTAAGTATTCACTTTCATATTGGCGAAGCTAATGGGAAGGTTTGCCACAGTGGGCACTTGAGTTGGTGTCAGAAAAGAACAATTTAAATTGAGTAAACTCTCTTCTCAGGTTACTAACCAAAGTATATCCTCCACTTAAAAGAAATTTTCTACCTTTGGTATTTAGAGTATTTGGCCCCAGAATCACAGGGAGATGTTTATAGAAACGGCTGTCATTATAAATGTATTTCTCAAAAACAAAAAATATACGTTGTCAGTGAACAATAAGCGGGATATACTTTTACCTGTTTTGATGATGTTGCACAACTCATAGAGCAGGAGTTTGTTGTCTCCTCCAGTGTCCAGGCGCTGCTCCATGTAGCTGTTGAGTTCGTACACCACACCCTGCATATTTGTGTCCTGGTACTGCTGGACACAAGACACACAGAAATTGCAACTGCACAGCCTGCACTGTGATTGAATTTCAAAATTCAGCAAAGCGCTACGGCAATAAACAAAAAAAAAACGTGACAACAACCTGCATTCTATACTGCACCCAGTCTAATGTTACTGCAGCAGCTAGCTACTATCTCAAATGGGAAGATTTTTATTTTTTGAATGAAAAGGGATTATCTTCCTGCCATTCACAAAGACAGAGCCATTCATCACAACATTACCCTCCGCCCTACCCTTACACTCCCCTTCACTGCTGCATTCTAGCCCTGGGATCCCCCCGCAGTCCTGAGAGGAGGCCACCGGAGCCCCACAGCTCTGATTAGAGCCCTGGCAAGATCTGCTGCTCAGCCTCAGCTTGAAAGTGTGGTTATGTAAGAGGCAGACCTCCTGCCTTGTACGGAGCCAGAGAGCCGTCTATTTCTGCGCCTGCAGAGAGGGTGAGGACAGGACGGCAGTGAGAGTGGCGCACTAGAAAGCCTCCCCCCACGGGACGCCTTCTATCCTCCCACATCCTGTTTGCACAGACGTATGGATGACGCACTAAGGGGTCGAGTGGCCCAGGTTTTTTTCTGTGTGAAGTCCCTTCTACCCAGCTCTAGGGCCTAACTGTGGACGCTGACGCCCGGCCTCTAAGGTGCATAATGCTGTCAAGATGACAAAGGTGTAAACATACCTATGTGGCACACATCTTCTCTTTCCCATAACTTTCCTGCCAACTGTGTCACACATGACGAGGGTCCAGTGCAGCAAAACATTTATATTGTTTGTGTTAATTTGATTTGCCAACCTGGAGACCCAGAGTCTGGCCTTTTCTGGACAACTCCGGTGTTAACATCACAAGCATCACTAATGTGCTGCAACCTGAATATGTAAACTATTTCATGCTTTTTACATTTTTCCAGTGAATGAGACAAAGTCACAATGGCAATGTTCTAAAAAAAGAAGGCACAAGGACAAACAAAACTGTCATCAAAGAGCATAGTCAATTTGCATCTTAATTAAGTACACCATGACATTTTGCAGCTATTGAAGGACGGTATTGAGTCCTGCGCTGACCTTGAATTAGTTCAGCCACAGTGTCCCCTCAATTAGTCACTAAGTTTAACTTTGGGAATTATGGGGCAAGGTACAGTATATTAATAAGTTATCTGCAATGTGTGAAACTGTAGAGTGGAGCTTCATGTGCCTTGTCACATAAATATGTACATATAAATTAAGCAAAAACCTACCCTGCTGACGTCTTTAGCTGATGTGTCATCTGTAAAGAGAACAATCACAATGTTAAAAAAACTTGAAACAAAGTTAGATCTTACTTCTATTTCAGATCTGATATTGATTACAGGTGGATGATAGATGAAAATTTTTTGCTGTGCCACAACATTGTAACTAGCTAGTTGGCTAGTTCTGTAGGGTTACAAAGTCAATAGAGTTACAAGTACAAAGCTTAAAGCAAGACAATGTTACTTTTGAAAGACAATATTTTTCTTCTATAAATTTAAACTTGGATTCATAATCAATAAAATACCTTCTTGCAGTATTCAATATACACTGAACAAAATTATTAACGCAACTTTTTGCCCCCATTCATCGTGAACTGAACTCAAATATCTAAGACTTTCTCTATGTACACAAAAGGCCTATTTCTCTCAAATATTGTTCACAAATCGGTCAAAACCTGTGTTAGTAAGCACTTCTCCTTTGCCGAGATAATCCATCCACCTCACAGGTGTGGCATATCAAGATGCTCATCAGACAGCATTAGTGTTGTACAGGTGTGCCTTAGGCTGGCCACAATAAAAGGCCACTCGAAAATGTGCAGTTCCATCACACAGCACAATGCCACAGATGTTCCAAGTTTTGAGGGAGTGTGCAATTGGCATGCTGACTGCAGGAATGCCTACAAGAGCTGTTGCACATGAATTGAATGTTTGAACATTTCTCTACCATAAGCCATCTCCAAAGGCGTTTCAGAGAATTTGGCAGTACATCCAATCGGCCTCACAACCGCAGACCACGTGTAACCACACCAGCCCAGGACCTCCACATCCAGCATCTTCACCTCCAAGATCATCTGAGACCAGCCACCCAGACAGCTGCTGCAACAATCGGTTTGCATAACCAAAGACTTTCCGCACAAACTCTCAGGAACCGTCTCAAGCTCATCTGCATGCTCGTCGTCCTCACAGGGGTCTCGACCTGACAGCAGTTCGTCATCGTAGCTGACTTGAGTGGGCAAATGCTCACATTAGATGGCGTCTGGCACTTTGGAGAGGTGTTCTCTTCACGGATGATTCCCGGTTTTCACTGTACAGAGCAGATGGCAGACAGTGTATATGGTGCTGTATGGGTGAGTGGTTTGCTGATGTCAACGTTGGGATCGAGTGGACCATGGTGGCGGTGGTGTTATGGTATGGGCAGGCATGTGTTATGGACAACGAACACAGGTGCATTTTATTGATGGCATTTTGAATGCACAGAGATAACGTGACGAGATCCTGAGACCCATTGCTGTGCCATTCATCCACGACCATCTCCTCATGTTGCAGAATAATAATGCACGGCCCCATATTGCAAGGATCTGTACACAATTCCTGGAAGCTGAAAACACCCCAGTTCTTGCATGGCCAGCATACTCACCGGACATGTCACCCATTGAGAATGTTTGGGATGCTCTGGATCGGCGTATATGACAGCATGTTCCAGGTTCTGCCAATATCCAGCAACTTCGCACAGCCATTGAAGATGAGTGGACCAACATTCCACAAGCCACAATCAACAACCTGATCAACTCTATGCGAAGGAGATGCGTTGCACTGCATGGGGCAAATGGTGGTCACACCAGATACTTACTGGTTTTCTGGACCCCCCCCTCGGACACCACAATACAGTGAAACTGCACATTTTCGAGTGGTCTTTTATTGTGGCCAGCCTAAGGCAATATCCATGCTGTCTGATGAGCATCTTGATATGCCACACCTGTGAGGTGGATGGATTATCTCGGCAAAAGAAAAGTGCTCACTAACACAAATTTTGACAGATTTGTGAACAATATTTGAGAGAAATAGGCCTTTTGTGTACATAGAGAAAGTCTTAGATCTTTGAGTTCAGCTCATGATGAATAGGGGGAAAAACAAAAGTGTTGCATTTATAATTTTGTTCAGTGTACTTGGAAGGAATTCTGCCACTAGCTACTCGTTCTGGTATGACTAGTAGCTTATAGTGCCTAATGTTAGCTAATGTTAGCAAACTTTAGCTCAAAAGCTTCAAGTTTTTTGCAGATTTTAGGACCCTTATACCTGCGGTTACACTATGTGTTGGTATTTATAATCAATTATAACATGTGGCCACTGTGGCTGTTTAATATAGGTTAGTGAAAAGGACTTCGGAGTAGATGCCAGACTGTCTGTGAAAACTTAATTCTCTCAGCTCCTGCCAATGTGCTACTGTGAGCCACACAGAAGTCTGGCCTGGCTGTCTGAGGGTAAGGTGGATAATCTGCAGTGGATTTGTGCACCGATGGATTACAAAGGCACAACATCCAGAAATCAGGTGAATTGTAAATGAGCAAATGCAACAATAAAAAATTCAGTGTTTAAAGTATTAATACTCATTATGTATAAATTATGGATGAATATTTAATCTACTGTTGATGCAGGAAGACATTTGCATAAATTATGATCCTTATAAAATGGAATTAAGAGAGGTATTAATTTAATTTGACAAGTGCAACATTTTGTGGCCTCAAGTGCAAATTCCTGGTGTGATTTCAGGCTTTTGGAGAGACAGTAGACATATGACTATTGTCTTTGGACATAGACACTGAAGTATGTGATAATAATGAAAGCTTTAGCCAATGATAACAGTTTCTGGACTTATAGTCTGGGAGTGGGGTCTGGGAGTGCTACTTGGGACGAAAATAAAACCATCCACACAGCTCCAGCGGTTCTTTGTTATACATGCGTCAACAGCACACGGGAACAGTAACTGCTCAGATCTCTTGGGTAACTTTTCATCTGATCAAATCACGCAAAAAGCTGGCTCTACTGAAGTGCTGACTCGAGCTGGTCCTCTTTTGAAATGAACCTCTTTGTACATGTGAAGAAAAAGATTACAGCCAGCTGCATTGTTTGTTGTTTTAAACATTCCTCCAATGTGCTATGAGTTTCCTAACTTAGCCATGAGAGCTATTTCAGAGTGAACCCCTGGCTGGGCATGACGTCAATCAGAGGACAGAGAGCTACACTTGAAAAAGACTTCAAACCCCTTTGAATAAAGGAAAAAATAAAGACAGAATCTTTTTTATAATGAGTTTAGGCCAAGAATATTCTGACATGCACCTCATTGAAATGCAAATTTTACAAATACGGTAGGTTTATTACCTATTAAACTACCAGAGAGCGCCTTAACACCACCCATTTTAACACAAACATTGAAAGTCATTGAGAATCAACCTCATCATGCCGTTAATTCAATACATGAACTGAATGTAATGGAAAACTGCCTTGTATATGGAATATGCATGACAGACAAATTGCAGTTGTATATACTGTGCCTCTGGGTCTGTGGTGTTTGCTAGCAAGCTATGAGCGGCATTATAAAGATTTGTTTTGGCTTCCGTGACCTGATCTATCAGCTCTCAGGCCCCCCTCACCTACTTAACTGTCAAAGGGACAAGCAGCAGTGCCCCACCTCTCTCTTCTCACCCACAGGAGGAGCACTAACTGGAGAGGCAGATAGGTCACGACTGACAGTTCAAAACCAAATGCAAGCAGACAAAAACACAAACACCCAGGTCAAACTGTGTGTCACCCACAATGAATGACATCAGATCTTGGGCCTTTTTTAAATAAGGTGGTGCAGTCCTTATAAGGTTGCAGAACAACCACCTCTTTGCATGATGTTGACCCTTATTATTTTCAGATGTTGCAATGCCAACACTGATGGTATTCGGCGGTCCCAGCGGAACCACAGGTGGAGCACTGAGCACCGTGTCTACAAACTGAAAATGTGTAAGGGGCCAAAAAGTTAACAGGAAGCGGTTGTACTTTCAAATGCAGAACCTTCCTGTGCCTGGGAACCACTTAGATACGAAAGCAAATGCAGAACCAGTTGCCTGCTCGTGACAGGTCTAGTAGTTCCTTTAAAGTGAGCCTGCAGGACCGTGTACATGTTCAGCAGGAGCAGGTCCAGCGTGGTTTAAAAAGTGTGGTTCATGGTTTTCTTAGAAAGCAAAAAATAGCTTGAATCTACTGTACTGTGTGTTTGGCTATGCTCTTGTTTCTTGCTGATGAAAAGTGGGTGAGAAAATGTGTGGACTGTTCCATTATGTATGGCCAGCAAAATAGGCTCCAAAATATCTAAAACTGACCTGTCGGTTGGCCTGTCCCGCTTTGCAACAATAACATCTTTGTTTCATAAGGTATATATCTCAGGATTAACCATAAGGACACAGTTACAGGGGGCAGACAAGACAGGTATGTGTACAAGTGTGTGTGCATGTCTCTGTTTTTTTTTTGTCACCACACAATGTGGTCAGCCATCAGCTCAGCGACAGAGACCAGGAGCCTGTTCTAATGCCATCCCATATTTTCAAGGACACCGCTGCTCTTTTAGTAAACAGAGGAGGAGATGGCCAGCGTGTTCTTTGAAGATATACTGCCTGCTCACTAAGCAATGAACGCTAAACACAACTGTGTAGCAACTCCTGAAAGCAGCAGAGGCTGAACAGACCTCTTCTAGTAACTTCATCACTCCATTCAAACTTTTCCTGAACCGGAACAACCTCAGTTAAAATGTTTGTCGGGTGTGCAACACTGGGATGTTTAGCTTTAAGTTGGCAGGTATCTGTTCTGGATACATGCTACTCTGTCTTGTAAAACAGTGTTTAGTGCGTAAGGCTCCTTTTGAAGGTTTTGTTTATAAGGCTAATGTGTACAGTACTCTACCTCCGGATTCTGTTTAGTGCCTACAAAAAAGTTTATGAATAACAACTTTTACAAAATTTGTTAACAGAATGAGAAGGCTGCATGGTTGTTGTAGTTAATCATGAATCAAAATTTGGTGTTTTTGGTCATACTATTGGTTTTTTTAAATATTAAGCTAGTTATAAGTAAGTTATATTTTTAGTTTTACAGAAAGTCCTGTTGTAGTATTTTAGTTGTTCTCATTGTTCAAGATCAAGGATTTGCAGCAGTTAAGACAAAACAAACAGCAAAGTCAAAATAAATGGATAAGCATGACGTCAGACAGGATAAACCC